TTCATGACAAAAAACATCTCAGGGTTCCCAGTCAGGATCTGATCTCTGAAGTGGTACAACCCCCCTGCAGTACCAAGGGCAGTGTACTCTTGGAGATATCTGAGAATCAATTGGACAAAAATCTATATTTTTCACTTACCATTCTAAGCATAAAAGGTACAAATTAATATTAAATGGGTATCAAATATAGTAATTCGATAGGAAGTTAGCACTAACTGGTGAATTTCTATAAACTGCTTTACTTGAATGCATGTTTTGTCAAGTAACATTAGCAGACTGAAAGTTCATTTACTGCAGTGGCTATTATTATTTCTGGTAGTTATAGGTTCAAATTGTGCCTGGTTATATGCATCAGTCTTGTAGCCATTCATGTTTACTAATAACATCACATTGGAGATGGTGTTGGCGGGTCGTCGAGCGCGAGCTCTAAATACCACCCCCAACATCTGATAGGGTTACAGNAATCTGCCGGGTTTCCATTCATGTTTACAATGCATTCCTTCAAACCTGATCTGTATCTGGAACTCCAGTTGTGCTTGCATGATAAATTTTGTGAGGGCATCGTTTGGTTGGTAGAAACCGATAATTAGGATCTCTCTCAAGTCTGGCACCTGCCAAAATAAGGGTCTAGACAGTGAATGGTGTACATAATAATTAATTAAAAATCATGGAAATAAAAGCAATGAACATAAAAAAGGACAGGGTGCTTGTTGATAATATAAAGACAATAACTATTTTGTATTTAGCTACCTGTAGAAAATGTGTATAATTCCAACATGTTTCCATCTCGTGATTAAGGATTTTTTTCAACAAGTTGAATTACACTATCAAAAAAGCTATATTGAACAAAGCTCCATTAGATCCCAGACAATTAAGTTTGCAACCTATTTAGCTAACACATGATAAATCATTTTCTTCATGTATACTAGTTTGGCTAAATGACAGATCTAGGGCTCACCTTGCTGCATGCCTCAATGTGATGGTATATAATGGGAAAGCCAGCCACAGGGAACAATGGCTTTGGAAGCTCTAAGGACAAGGGACGGAATCTGGTGCCTAATGGTATAAAATATACATTATATAAATTTTTTAAATTTGTTCATATTGATTTATATATACATACGTTAATAAAAACCATTATGTTAAACAAGTTTAAATTAAGTTGGATTGGTAAAAATCTATTTTTCTTATTGACATTAAAATAAAAACTATTTTATTATTAATATTATGTTAATATTTTTCTAGAAACAACCAATTCACTAAACAAATTTAGAATACAAATGGCACAAAATATAAGTAAAATCAATCAAGTAAATTTACATTGAAAGCCATGTAAGTGTCATATTACAAGCCTCATACTCCTATTACTAACACCTGGAACTTTCCCACCCTTCCTGTTTATCCTTTTAATGCAGTGAATCGCAATGTCATCGATTATGAATTACAAATAGTTTACATAGAATATGCCTAACTACTAACTAAAAACTGAATTTTAATCAATACAAAAATTAAAATATGGTTAAAATTTAATTAAAAGGTGTGCACAGAGCTTATTTTCCATATGAATTGTAACAACATGATTTTTTGCATAAATTAATGAAATTTTGTGAATAGTTTTGCATAAGTTCCACTGGTTTACTCATAATTTATAATTGTCCTGACTCTGACAGTTTCGGGGTTTCCCAACCTGGGCTGCTCACACCCCTAGTGACCTTTTAACTGGTTGTGCCATTGACTTTTTAAGCTATGATAGGCCTAAGCCTACTCCTAATTAAATAAGTTGAGGCCTATTTTCTTTCATAATTATTTAATTAACATTTTAATTTTATATGTTTGCCTAATATGTCACAAGCTTACTATCTAAGTTTCACAACTCTCTTTGTAATTCGTTAAATTCATTAAACATTAAAAAAAAAGGTAATCTACCACTTGAGCGTCGGCCAAGAAAAAATCCAGGGCTATTTAAACAACTATTCTTACATTGGAGTCTGTTAATATTTTTGCTTCCGTAAAGTTATATAGCACAATACTAATACATTTAAATAATTATTACTGCCAAGCTACCGATATGCCAGGAAGAAAAAGAGACTACAATAGAGCCGATGTCTGAAATGTTTGATACAGATCAGATATGAAATGAAGAAGAATGGCGGCTGTCCACACTACTGCTGAATTTGTCAGACCCCTTATTCAGCATCTAGGATGGTGCATTAAATTTTTTTATTTTTTTTTTATCCAGATGACGCGGATGTCCACACACAGAATGTGGAAAACGGGGATGCTCAAAAAGTGTAAACTGAAAAGACAGTTTGGCACAAGCCGTGATCTTTCCCCTTCATATTTACGTGAATTCATGCACCACAACCAATTTCGTGGAACTTATTTTTTTTAAAACTTCATTGTTGCCTTGGGGGAGAACTATGCATAATTCCATTTTCAAACATTAAATTGTTTAAATTCTTCTATTTCAAATTTTAAAAAAATAGTTTTTCTATTTAAAAAAATGTTCTTGTGTATTTGTATTAGTACTATTATTATGGGAATGAATACGTACAACCAATGTCATTATAAATAGTATAAGAATAATTGTTTAAATAGCCCTTCCAACCGGAACAGCTGGATTTTTTCTTGTCCGACGCTCAAGTGGTAGATTACCCAAAAAAAAAAATAATTAAAGGTTTTTTTTTTTCCTTTAAAATGCATTGTTAATCTTACTAAGATTAAGGAGAAGTCTCACAGTATTTTAGAGTGACAACCTAATTTTTTTTACTAATTCTGATTACAGCTGGATTTTTTCTTGTCCGACGCTCAAGTGGTAGATTACCCAAAAAAAAAAAATAATTAAAGGTTTTTTTTTTTTCCTTTAAAATGCATTGTTAATCTTACTAAGATTAAGGAGAAGTCTCACAGTATTTTAGAGTGACAACCTAATTTTTTTTACTAATTCTGATTCATGACTACACTACATAATAAAATAAGTTTTATTTAAGGCTAAGAGAAGGTGGGAGAATTAGTTTAAGCAATAAAACAGTGGTCTATCACTATTAGTTTTAACTTGCTCAAAACTAACAAACATTATTTATAGGTATTCATGTTTAAAATGATATTTTTGTCATCTTCAAATTGCTAGCTGCGCATATCCGATCCGGCGATCGCGAATCAGCATTTGAACGGCTGAAAAGTTAACTAGTTTCCTATTTTCTTTACTGCAAGCAGGCCTATTAAATTTAGTTTTACCTTTCATCGGACCTCCAACTAGTATGATTGCCTTGAGCATCGTAATTTCTATGGCTTTGGATTAATTGATAATATTAATAAGAGCAAAAGTCAAAACAACGACTTCCCGAAGAAGAGGATAGTAAATTACTGAAGTGAAGACACGTAGAAAATTTATCAAAGAGTGCCCACCCTTGAATAGCTACCCAAAGTGAACGTTTCGAATATTCCTTTATTATTAAAAAATAAAATTGGAATATATACTTTGATATTTTTTCACTGACCTCTACCTTAAAAATATGAATTCAGCAAGTTTTCTTGAATTCCTAAAGTTTTATTATACATTGACAAAATGAAATGCAAAGCAACAATATTAAACATTTAACAGTACCGGTTAATACTACCATCGCTAGGGACGCTGAAAAGGGCGTGGCCATACCACACGGTGTGGCACACCCACTCGTTTGTCGTCTGTCCTTTCAGTTTCTATTGATATTTTTCATTACACTTCTAATATTAATTTTAATTAAAATATTTTTAATTGGCATCTTATTACAAATTATCGTATTGCATTTGGGTTTAATATGGAATTATTTCCATTCTGGTATTTTTCTGTCATGTACACTTATTTTGCATTTTCTAATTTGATTCTTTCACATTTATTTTCATGACCAGTGCCAGTGCATGACGACTAATTTAAATTTAAGGCTAACACGAATGACAAATTGATGGACTTTGAAGCAATTGAGTGTAAAAAATTGTTAATGCATCTGATTGACAACTAAACAAAAGAATGATTTAATTTAAATGGCTAAATATGGGATAAAAAAACTAAAATCGTTCAAACTGAGCTATACTATTCATTTTTTGCATGGCTTGTAATATACTTGGATCTTTCTAAAATATTACAGTATTTGTAACCCACTTTTATGACAACTTTGGACTCCTAAAACCTTAAAGTACTCTCCAATTTACATTTGTGTCTGTGTGGAGTTAACTGTGCTGTGCATTTAATCATGTGTACCATTTGTCTAGTGTACATTTCTGTCACCCAGTTCTGCACCAGGTCTATTTCGGTTTAAGAATGTTGTAGTCTCCTTACATGACTATTTTGACAAGGTGATATTTATTAAAAATGCACATTAAGTTTTAAACTCCAACTTGGACATTTAATTTATAACTTTGATCTAGTATCTAGTTAAGCTAAACACACAAATATATTTTTGTCACTCGTTTGTCTTGACGGTGAGGAGGCTGGAGCTTTTAAAGAATTTTGTAGCTCCTGTCAAGGAATGAGATACACTGTGTCTAGAGAAAACATGAGTTGTGAGGTCTATATGTGATCGGATAACCGTGCATAACAAAACATGTGGGCATGACATTTAGCAGGGTGATTTTCAGTGTGAGTGTGTAGTGTCCATCAGTCATTAGTGTGTGTTGAGAGCTTGAAAGAGTTTAAAGGAGAATTCATCAAAGTTTAGTAGATGAACAGAGTGACTGTTGTAAGCTGTGAGGAAGATATTTATTACAATACATTTTGGACATTGTAAATTGTTGAGAAGGCCTACTGTCCACCAGAGTGTACAGTTTACCAGAGAGTGCTGTATAAGTATGTATAAGTAATCATACCCAAGCAGAATCAGACGAGAGAGAAATAATCGCCCAACAGGAGGTCCTAGGGTGGTTCATTCAAGTTGTATAAGCACCAGTATTTTATTTCCATGTGTGAGAGCCTGATTAACACTAACTTTTGAAAACACATTTATAAAATAAAACGTAATCAAGTCAATCTAAAATCAATAAATTCAACTTTATTGATACCCATTCAAAGCTAACATTCACCTTTTAGCAGTCTGCTACATAAATTAAAGATGAGGTTCAAAATACAATTCACTGTTAATTTACGTCCTGCTATGTTAAGGATTCTGTCACAGTCATGCGATTTTTAAAACTGGTTCATCATTTTAAGGTAATTAAAATAGTCAAATGTGAAACATTAAAAATAACAAATCTTACACACTTACACTTCACAAGTACATTTCCAGTTACTAAATTACACATGATGGTTTAAAATTTTGTAACTGCAAATGTTACTGCCATATTGTCTGAAATAGTAATAGGGCTTTGCACATAAAAAGAAACAATCTGAAGCATGTTAATTTTTTCACAAAAATATTTAAAAAAATTGATAATTACAGTTCATGCAGTTGAATAGCCCAGGAAAATAGTTAAGAAAATTCTCCAAATAGCCCAGGAAATTCGCTAAGAAACTTCCCTTGATTTTATCTATTTTTTTGTCAATGCTGGAGTTTAAAGCAATCCAACACATTACTGATAAGAAATCTAACACTTCATAAGTTAAACTGCAGACAATGATCCTTTCATACAAAAAAAGAAAAAAAAAATCTAGCCTCCTAAAATGAGTTAGATGTTGGAAAGAAACCTGCCACAACTACCATGTATGGTAATTTATTTTCTTCTTGAAGATGTAAGTAACTTTTAAAAGAAAAACTATTTAAAATACATTTTCTGAAGAGTAATAGACTAGAACAAATGTGTGTGTTGTATGTGAACCTCTAATTTTCAACAAATTTGTAACATATCAATTTACTAGACACAGGATGAGGCAACAGACAAGGTTAGCTCTTAGTAGTGGTTACATCCCCTAAAATAATAATAAAGTTTCATATAATTTTTAAAAATTCTTATTACAGGTACCGGTTCATAATGCCCCCACTTAATTAACAGAGGAAAAATTAGAAAGACATTGTTCCTTATTTGAGCCTTGTCACAATTCAATTTAATATTAGAACTCTGAAAGTTTATATTTTGTTAAAAAGACTACCAGAAACAAATTCAGAAACCTGATGTTGGTGTTTCTGTCCCTAATGTATTTGTAAAACCTAGTATGAATTGGAAATCATTTCTTTTTTCCTGTTAGACCAGCACCAGCATTGAACTTGAAGAAAATAATGTCGCCATCTTGAACCACATAGTCCCTTCCCTTCTGTTTATATTTGCCATGGGCCTAGAGAAAAAAACATTTGGTTAATTTCAAGTTAAAAAAAAAAAACAAAAAAAAAAACTTGATTAATTGTGAAGGTCATTCAGGCTTTTATACATTTTAAAATTAATTTATATTTTAAAATATAATAAATTATTTTCTTTAAATCATAAAAAATCAAAAGTATTTTCTTTGGTATCTATTACTTTCAAGACAAAGAACCTCCTTATTGGGAATTAAAGGTTAATTCATTTTCTCAACCTATTTTCAAGGATGAAATAAGATTAATTAAACAAAAACATCCATAAAATTCAGTGTTATACATGTTCCATACAAAAGAAGCGTACCTTGCATTCAGCTTCAGTTTTCAGTTCAAAGAAATCTTCATAGGCCATGACCTCAGCCATGATGAAGCCTTTCTCAAAGTCTGTGTGAATACGTCCTGCTGCACCCGGTGCTTTAGTTCCAACCTGCAGTGTTTAAAAGATTCAAAATGCATTTCAGATTATAAGAAGAGGAGAATGTTAAAAGATGAAAACTTCGAAGACAGCAAGTGAGTTATTAGGTATTGTGGTAAATAATTTAATTGGTCTCTGTAGAAGATGTTGTATGCTTGCATAATCATTCAGAAGGAATTATTTTTTTCAAAATCACAAAAAATGTTTCTTGTTTGTATTGTTTGAAATGGACTTACCTGGATGGTCCAGGCTTTTACTTCATCCTTTCCTGAAGTGAAGAAATATACAAGGTTCAAGGCCTTGTATCCATTCACAATTATTTTCTCAAGAGCACTGATGAAATAAAAATGTTCACATTTCTAAACTACTTCAAGCATTCAATGATACATAAATAGCATTTCCTTCGATTTGATTTATAGATTAATTAAAAAAAAAGATATTTCAAAGCTTAAACAAGCAGACAAATTAACTTTTTACCTTGTTGTCTCCAGTTCCTTGAGACACGCATCTCTCTCTTCCTGTGTCTGCATGTCCAACAACTTGGACTCGAGGGCACCACTAAACAAAATTACCATTGCTCCTGCATCTTTCGTATCAATCCACTCTTTGATCTTCAACAGCCTAGTTTTAGGAGTAAAATAATTAAAAACTTGAATTTTGTGATTACAATTCAGATGGTTTAACTAAAAAATTTAAAGTTTCAACTTTTAAATTATTTTATGACATTATTTAATAATATAATATACTCCATAAGTTCAGCCAAATATTAATCATAATCCACTTGGTTTGAATAACCTTTTAGAAATCAAAACAGAAGTTTAATTACCCATTAAAATATAATTAATTAAAAATGTTTAAATCTTCACAAATAAAAGATTTGCCAGTAAATTCTTAGTATCTCTAAAGTCACTCCCCTACAAATTTCTTTTCTCTTGAAGTGACACAAAAGCAGACGTGAGCCTAGAGGCATACTCCGGTGAGGCCACTCCCAGAACATACTCCATGTCAATGACATGAGCATAACATTTTGTATAATCTTTTTCTGACAGATTCACAAGGTAAATCACAGGCTTGGAAGTAAGAAACAAATGCTGATTCAGCACTTCAATCTGAGGAATGATAACATTATGCGTTATATATGTTACTGGTATTTAATAATTTATATGTTTCAACCTTCTTCTTTGCAGTATTTAATTGAGATGTCAAGAAAATACAGTTAAGAGGAACAGTTTTCAATGACTAAAAGATCAATCATTATATTCAACAACTTTTTTTTTTCTTTCAAAATGCATTTCACATTAAATGAATTTGATACCTCTTTTACGTCCCACATGGCATTCCGAACCCATCTGTTATCATTTAGTATATCTTGAACCTTTTTTAGGACATCCTGAAAAACAGAACACAAGAATAAAACAGAATGTTCTTTTTTTAAACTTATCATACAATTTTAATAATCAATAAATGAAATAATCGTGAAAAACACAACCTTTGTTCTTTCAAAAATTAAAAAAAAAAAAACAAGAATAAAAAAAGTAATACCTAATGCATTCGCAATTTTTCATTGGAACCTAACAAATTTGCATTTGTGATTTTTTTTCACAGATCTGTGAAATCCAAGGAAAAACTTGCAGAGTGTTTAGGTTTAATTTTAGAAGTAATTTACAACTGTTTAAGCTTTTAAGTGTAAAATCGGAACGAAAAAGTTTGTGCTAGTGTGGCAAATACCCATGAGGCGATAATGTTCTGTATTTTTAAGGCAAACATTTAAAATTGTTTTTTTACGTAAAACATTTAAAAAGGGGTTAAACTCTCTATGAGCCTACATAAGGTTTTTGCCTCCTCTGTAAACTTACATAAGGTTTTTGCCTCCTATGTGAGCCTACATAAGGTTTTTGCCTCCTTTATGAGCCTACAAAAGGTTTTTGCCTCCTATGTAAACCTACAAAAGGTTGTTGCCTCCTACATGAGCCTACAAAAGGTTTTTGCCTCCTATATAAACCTACATAAGGTTGTTGCCTCCTATATGAGCCTACAAAAGGTTGTTGCCTCCTATATGAGCCTACAAAAGGTTTTTGCCTCCTCTGCTGGCACACCTAAGGATTTTTCGCCACCGTTGGTGATCAATGGTTTCTGTAACCCTATCAGATGTTGGGGGAGGTATTTAGAGCTCGCGCTCGACGACCCACCAACACCATCTCCAATGTGATGTTATTAGTAAACATGAATGGCTACAAGACTGATGCATATAACCAGGCACAATTTGAACCTATAACAACCGCTTCCCTCCAGGGGAGGCGCCTTGTGGGGGGTTGGTTTAAGATCTATATACTAATGCACAAGCCTTTTTTTTTAGTAAATAAAGAAATATAAAGTTACCTCCATAGAACACCACAGAACATGAGAAAAACATTACTGGAAATGTTATATACAGATATATACAGTACTGAACAGAAGATCCATTTTATTTACATATGTACACACACACAAAAGGCTGCCGAGACTCTTAGTAAGAGTTCAGTTTTCCAGCATATCCCTAGTGGCCTTTTTGCACGTGTCCAACAGCTCTTTAAACAACTGAAGGTTAGCATTGCAGTTGATTTTAGTTACAAGCAAGTTAGAAAAAGTATCAACTTTCATGCTTGCTCTTGTTTCATTCTAATTTTTCTTTACATTCTTCTAGTGTTCAGCGAGTCTGGAAACATTTCTTTGACTCTGACATTAAAATTTCCTTCAATGTTTATTAATATCATTGTACCCATCACTTTCAATAGATTTAACCATTTAATTAAGAAAAACTTTAACAAACAAAAAAAGTCAGAATTATTTTTTAGCCTTGTAAAAAGGATAAATCATGATCGGATCAATTGATGATTGAAGAATGATTTGAAGGTCGCTGTTCACTTCGATAAAAACAAGTCAGGGTCTATACGTCAGGCGACCAGACACATAGTGCGGGAGATATTTATCTGGCGGGCATGCCAAGCTTTATAAAAAAAACATTGTCACTTTTTAACCAATTGTTCATTATGTATACCAGTACCAGCAATGGATCTATTATTTCTTTTTTATAATTGAACATATTTCTTTTTCATGTAAATGCCCAGACTATATTAAATTATTTGAAATGAAGTACCGTAAACTTTGATCAACTATTACCGGTCACATGACAAGGCTGACGGACAAATATCTCACGCAACTTTGTTACCGTGGTCATGTGACTTGGCTGAATAAATACTAACCGAGCGAATATCTCGAGAATTTATTCACTTATTCGTCCGGTTGATGGACTTGTATGCACTTCGTAAAAACAAATGAAACACTTCCTGACTTCCTGTTGTATCCGATTTTTTTTTTTTTAGATTTATCGCTTTCGGATTTTTATGACGGGTGAAAAATTATAAAGTTCGAAAAATCGGAATTTTAAGGGGGTTGTTGGTAGGTCGGAATGAGGGGTAAAAAATCTGCATGATTCCGACAAAATCAGAAAGGTTTGCAGGTCTGTGAATGTGATAAAAAGAGATGAATTAATTAACTCACTAATTCTTCCTTCTTTTTCTTGTCCCCAGCCCCTCTAGTGACACTTCTCTCCAAGGGATCCAAATGTTTGTTGAGATATTCCAGATCTTTGAGACGGATTTCATCATGTATAATTTCCAGGTCTCTAACTGGGTCTACATCTCCCTCAACATGCACTATCTCCTCATCGGAAAATGCACCTGTCATAAATAAGCAAAAACACTTTGATGTATTTTATGACTCATCCAAATAATAGGGAGCAAGTACCAAAATATGACAAAGTGAATGGGTTTTTATTTCTTTAAAATAAAATCCATTTTATTTAAATGATAAGCGCTATATATTCAAAAATAATAATGTAAAATTGCATGTCATCATAAACCAGTAAGTACATAATGCTATTAGCAAGCTTTTTATTTAACTGGTTAACTACCATGAGCCGACCGGCCCGGTGTTTCTTCTGTTATGGCCACGAGCCGCTGGTAGCGCCAATGTTTGTATTGTAGTAAATCGATTCAAATATTTATATTATTTCATTCCCATTTGCTTCGAGATTTTAATATATTGACAGGATGTTTATATTCCAAACCCATGCTATCGGCAAAATGTTTTAAAAAACGAACTGTTAATTTATTTTGACTTAATTTCCAAGCTAGTTACAAAATATTACTACTTATTTACCATGGCAAAAAGCAGCAGGGTTACTAAAGGCATATAAGTGATTGGAAGCTTAAATATTATTCAATTTTTGTGTTCTTTGGTTCGTATTTCTTATTATTGGATATTTTTGTTGTTCGTCCGTCGAAGTCGACAAGGACCATCGAATCATCCGGTTAGGGGCGGGCGGGGGAGGTTGGGATTACGGTGAGCTCTTAGGTGGCTTGTTAGACCGATCCTTGCTCGGAATAATCTATGACACCGTGGGCATGGAATAGTTGCTTCAGGCGATGACCTAATGTTGCTCTTTCGGACAAACCTGCGTGTCTCAGCTGTGGTTATTCTCTTAGCTTCATGGGATTTAGCCCCCTTCTTGACAGCAGCTCTCCATCTGGCTCTGTCCTGGGCTGTCTGCATCCATTGAGTAGGGTTTATGCTGAAGGCCTTTAGTGCCACTTTCAGTGAGTCTTTGTAACGCTTTCTTTGGCCTCCTTGGGAGCGCTTGCCTGTCGTGAGTTCTCCAAAGAATATTTGTTTCGGGAGCCGGTGGTCTGCCATACGGGCTACGTGTCCCATCCAACGGAGCTGAGACTGCATCAGAGTGGTGAAGATACTAGGTAGGTTCGCTCTAGCGAGGACCTCGGTGTCGGGGACTTTGTCTTGCCACCTGATGTCGAGGAGTTTCCTGAGGCAGGTAGTGTGAAAATGATTCAGTTTCTTGGCGTGACGCTGGTAGACAGTCCACGTTTCACATCCATAAAGCAGTGTCGGGAGGACTGCTGCGCTATAGACCTTGAGCTTTGTTTCACGACTGATACCTCTCCTGTCCCAAACAGTGCTGCGGAGCCTGCCAAATAGGGCACTAGCTTTTGCGAGTCTGCCATTCATTTCATCATCCATGACGACAGATCTAGAGAGGGTGCTGCCCAAGTAAGTAAATTTAACCACCGGGTTGAGACGCTGTCCACTGATGATGATGTTGGGTTCAACGTAGGGCTTACTGGGAGCTGGCTGATACATCACCTCAGTCTTCTTTGTGTTGAGTGTGAGGCCAAAGTTATTGCACGCCTCTGAGAAGATATCAACGCTGTGTTGCATGACGGCTTCTGATGGAGCATTAAGGGCACAATCGTCTGCAAACAGAAGCTCGTTGATCGTGGTATGTTTGACCTTGGTTTTAGCTTGAAGCCTCCTAAGGTTAAATACTGACCCATCAGTACGAAACCGGATTGGCAAGCCCATGCGGAGTCCTTGAACGCATCAGAGAGCATTGAGGAATACATAATACTGAAGAGTGTGGGAGCAAGAACACAACCCTGTTTTACACCGTTTGTGAGGGGGAATGCTGGAGATGATTGACCGTTGTCCTGTACTTGGGCCATCATACCATCATGCAGCTGATGGATGATGTTTGTGAACTTGTCTGGGCATCCGTATTTCTTCATGATTTTCCACAAGCCAGCTCTATTGGATATACTATTTGTAAAGCACCATAAAAGGCTTGAAATGACTTGGAAATTTAAAATTTATACGTAAGTTGGCACAGTTATATATATTTTTTTGTTTTTCTGTTCTAAATACTAATTTAACAATTAATTATTTCCTAACAAAACTTAACTGTACAAATGTTTTATGTTCATATTATAGACAATTCAGTTACCTACAAAATGGTTTATTAATCATTTGAATATGCTTATTATTAAGAAAACTGCAGCTGAATTTCTACATACACCTAAAATAAGAAAATGTGACCAAGATTTAATTTGGTCACACCGGGTTTTTTAATCTGGTAAGTTAATCAGTTAAACAAGAAGTTGAAGTGATTTGCTTTTAAATGCAGTTAAACAATTTCTTCCAATGTAGAAATGGAAAACAAAATAATAAAAAGAAATAAACTAATTCTTACGAATCACGTGGAATATAGCATCACAAGCGCTGATATTTGACAAAAAGGCATTGCCAAGACCTTTCCCTTCATGGGCCCCCTTCACGAGACCAGCAATGTCTACAACATTGAGGAAAGCTGGAACTTTGCTAAGCAGAAAAATGAACACAAAAAAGAACATAATCAAAAACTTTACAAGTGACTTACTCTTCTACTGGTGAATGTGAAATACTTATTTTTAAAAAAGAGACAAGTTCTCACAACTGTAACAGGGATGAAATGAAAATCATAATAATTTAAATTTCAAGCATTCAATTGTTAATCTCAAATGTAAAGTATCAACATACCTCAAAGGTTCATATGTTTCACACAGAAAGTCAAATCTCTTGTCAGGTACTGGCACTCGGCCTAAAATAAAACAGTTTACAAAATTATAGAAAATCTTTTCTTTAACTGTTGATGCAGAATAAATAATAAGTTCACATGAACTATTAAATCTAGGGAACTATACTTCTGGAATAAATATCCATGTACACAATTTTAAAAAAAAACAAACTAGCCTGTACTTCTTAAAAATGGAATATTTCATGAGCTAAAGAGAGGGAAAAAAAAACAACAGGATAGAATCACTACTAATCCTAGTGCTATTAGAATGACAAGAAAACAATTTCAGAACAGAACTTCTTACTTTCATTGGGGTCAATGGTGCAGAAAGGGAAGTTTTCTGCCTGAGCTTGACTCTTAGTTAAGCAATTGAAAAAGGTTGATTTTCTGAAATATTGAACGAAATGAGTACAATTTTATTTCTATGTTATGGTTATCAAGACATTGAACAACTCAGTCCAAGACTTTGAACATCTCAATTCATATTACTTTGTACAAATACTGCATTTTTAACCCTTAAAGTCTAAGTTTGTTGTATTGTACATTCTCAAAATTGTACTGAACAATATATGTTGTGTCAGAAAACTACTATGAAATTAGTTGAAGTGATGACATATTACTACTGACTTCTATGAATAAGCTGAGACATTTAAAAAAAAAAATCAGTACCATTAAATCTAACAATACAAATATGTTACCAAACATCCAAACAGGCTAATTAAGATATTAGGCCTATATTTAAATAAAATTTGACGTACCCCACATTAGGTAGGCCAACTATACCAATTTTTAAATTGGTACCTACTCGACCAATAAGTGGTGGCTTTTCCACTTCTTCTTTCTTCTTTGGTGCCATGTTTAAATATCTAATTCTGAAAATAAATTATTTTGGTAATCATATAGTCATAGTTAACAATCCAGGAAGACATTATATATGGCTGTTCATGTTAGTATTGTTGGACAGAGTTCAATATTTACATAAAGTTTTATGATTTTTAAGTTTCAAGGAAATTGTAGCAGAAAACTATTGACACAGGTGATGTAAAATAAAGAAGCCAAGAATATAATCCTCTAGTTCAGAGAACACTTTTAAAGTATACAATGTGGGTTTCAGTGTTATAATTTTTCAAAATTATGCATATGCTCACTATTAATAGCAAGGATTCAAGTGTCCCTGCCTTGCCAAATTAAGTTTAAGTGAATTATTTCATTTTACTTAATTTTTTTTAAAAAAAGCTTGATCCCATTCTCAACCCTATTTCCAGGAACAATGTCATAGAGATTGAGAAGTGTATATTTGAAAGTAAAGTAATCATAAACAAGTTGCATAACAGCAGCATAGCCACAAGTGATACCACTCAGCAGCTCTTGAGATTGCCAACCCTCCTCCCCACTCCACTAAAATAAAAAGACTGTAAGTTACAGTTCACATAAAATAAACTTCTACCAAAGAAAATAGTGATTATGGGCATTATTGCCCCTCACTATGATTTTCACTAGTTTCAAATTGTCAAGCACCAAATCAACAGTTTGTTTTGATTTTAAAGCAAAAGTACTTATTGACTTCTTTCATTGTAGGGATTACCCAGAAACTGTCCTTGGGTTTACGACAACAGATAAATATATCCTGTGCTGATGCATCCAAACCACAAACAAGCCACACAATTAAGACAAACTTCTTTTTCTTGATTCTTATGACACAGTGACTGACAGGCAATTAGATTTTTGACTTTTGATGCAACACATTTTTGACATCCACTATGAATGGTTATTGTATTGACATCTTTCTTAAACTTACAGTTAATTACTAACTTACTAATGTACACTGTCAGAATTAAGACATGATAATAACTCTCATTTTCTTAATTTTAATTGTACATAACTATTGAATACTACTATAGACTATAGACTATTACTGGTAGTGTGACTGGTAGTCAAAGTAATGAGTGTTTTTACTGCAATTTTTGTTTACATTTTAATTTTTTGAGGGTTTAGGTTAGGTTGAGGGATCAATTTAGGCTTAGGCTTCAGGTTAGTGTTACTAGTGTTAGGCATGGGGATTGATTTCAATGATTGATTTAGGCTTTAGTTTTAGGGTTCAGGTTAGGCATAGGGATCGATTTAGTGACAGAATTAACTGGGTTGTCAACCAAGATGGCGGAAACCCCGGGGGAGCTTTCTCAACAATACCAAAATTTGAAAATTAATCAACGAAATATAACAATCTCAATCTCATCTGACTGTCTAAACTAATTTATATTTTGGCATTAATTGGACTAATTCCGCCTCGGCGTCAGCATTGAAAATGTCGACGCTGACAAATTCCTATCTAAAATCGATAAAACTTAAGCATTTAACCCACAATGCAGTGAAGTGTCTAGAATTTAAGTTGTAATGAAATTATTTACAGAAATTAAGTGCAAAATCTTACACTTACGTTGATTCATGCAATACTTTACCGGAACGCGTGTATTTCCCAATATGGCAACAAACAACAAAAGTTGCGTTTCCGGTCCATTAAAATTGATATTCGCAGAATTTACTTCTTTTTTTTTCTTTTTTTCTTTTGTGGAGATCCCTATGGTCTGATGCATGTTTGAAATTTAATATAAACAATAACTTTTTTAAAAAAGACGACAAAAAATTTTAATATTTGAAATTGTATCCTTTAATTGACAACAATGTATTTCTATCAATAAAAACTATATTGCACAGTGAAGTACAGATTTGGTCCACATTTTAATTCATTAAGTTAAATTAGTGCATCAGTTAAAAAAAAAAAAAATTCCCTATATATTTAATTGCAAACAAGAATGCGAACCTTCTGAAAATAGTATAAGTGACAGGATATACATAGAACAAATATAAACATGTGGCACAGGAACAAATTAATTGGAAATGTATACAAAAACAAAAAACAATTTAAGATATAGACAAAACAAAGAGGGAGTTATGAAAGAAACTATTATCTATGAAAAAACAATTATTTATTCTCAATTCTGGTTCATCTAAAGCAGGCCTGCACAACTCAAAATGTAAGGCGGGGCATAATACTCTATAAATCTATGAAAAACTTGTGCGGCCAAAAGAGAATTGGGAAGGACTTGTTCGTGCCAAAACAAAATTGGACTGGACTTGTGCAGGTCCAAGAGAAAATAGGACAGGGGGGGGGGGGGGGGGAAGCTATTTTGTAAAGAATAAGAATAAAGAATATTTCATTATTTCTTTGGCTGCAAAGTAAAGTGGATGCTATCGGGGCTGCATGCTCTACAATTTTTAAGGAATGTGTAGCATTCTCATCAGTGTTGAATTTCATTTCATTATGATCAATCAAGTTTAAAACAACCATGTAGAAATCAAACATTGACTTATCCTGTTTTGTTTCACTTCAAAATACGTTTGTCCAATCTAATTTTTTATAGACATCCTAAAATTCATATGGATTTAAGGTCAAATTTTTTTCAGACTGTCGGTAAATTTACTGACATTTGGCTACCCTGCCTATGTTTCTGTGATCAATAGTTCTAAATGTACTCCCACAACACTGCAGTTATCACCCTTACCCCATGTTAAAGCTGAATAAGGGATGTTCAATGATACGGTCGAATAAATGATAATCTATTTAACTTTTTTTTTTATTCATACTTGTAAAATATTTAAACATAAATAATAAAATTATTGTCTTATTGCAAGCATTTTGTAACTTAATTTGTTTAGCATACCTAGTAACTAGACTTATCACATTTAGATTTTACAAAGAGCACAAATTAAGGAATGTGATAAAACAGAACTTGTCAAGGGTAATTTCTGTAACTTGTATATACTAACAGTTGACACATTCACATCAAGTAGAGGTTAAAAATACTAGACTATAGACCAGACAATATTACAATCTAGACCATAATGTTTACAATTTGTTATTATTCATCATCATGGCAACAATTTCCAGATCCCACAAAACATTTTAGAACCATTTAAGGATGCAGCATTTGCCCATGTCTTGTTACAGATGTGGAGTTGCCAAACAATAAAATTTAAAAAATCTTATTACAACATTGTTTTTCTTCAATTAAGCATTTAAATAAAAATTATCATTTTGCATATGTTAAGATGTAATTCAATTATTGCATACTAATTTAAATTGAAATAATTCCCTTATATGAATTTCTGATATTTTTTAACTCATGACCCCTTGATTTCTATTACAGAGCTGTTCACAGAATGTGCAAAAACATAAACAATATTGATTCTTACATGAAATTAGTGAAAACAATAAGGTCATTATGAGAATATTTTTCTGCAATATATATTTAAGAGCTTTTTTCACAAATATATGGTATTGAAATATTTATAATTTAAAAACAAAATTATCACAATTATCTCAAAATTAATTGGAAGAAATGCATTTATGGTGAAAAACATCTGAAGGAAGAAAACAATGTTTGTGTACATAAGTGGGTGGAGGCTAGTAAAAAAACACACATTGGTATTATAAAAAATATATATTTATAAATATCCATGTATTTTTAGACACTAAATTTTAGACAAAGCCCTACTGTTAACAGCTTATTACTGGCAGTAGAGCTTACTATAAGAAAAGCAGAAAGAATAAAGTACCAATTGTTTACACAAGTATCAACTATATGTACTCAGTAAATTACTATGTTTATATTGGAGAAAATGTTGAAATCATGAGCAGCACGTCTTACTATTCTTACTCAACCTTACAGCAAACTCTCCAGAACATTTGATTGCGTTGTCTTGTTCCTAATATCACTATTTCAATATTGCAACTGAGTAAAATATAATCCCAGTGAACCATAAATGAATAACAATCATACAACTTTTAATCCACCGAATGCAGACATCAGTATTTCTGAAACATGGTCAATCATTCGTGAAACTGACCTTAACTGGAATAACAGTACAAGCCAAAAGATAAGATTAAAGTGCTAATTCATAGACTTAGACCTGTTGAAACATTAGTAAGTGTATAATTTAATAAATCACTTGGTAGCAATATGCATAAGTTTGTTTTTATTTCCCTGCTGTTAAACAGTTTATTAATAGAGCATGAGATTATTATAATTCAAAATAATTGTTATTACATTTACCCTTTCTTATACATTCAATTTGATTGGAATTAGGTCTTGTTTCTGATAAGGGAAATGAGCAACAGACTATGACTATGTCCCATGCAACATATTCAATCCCAAAATAAACCTTAGTGTGTTCCACTCATGTAGCAATATGTGCGCACATCATAGTCAGTGTGGGGGTAATTTATTTTTAACATTTTGAATATTCTATGAAGTCCCTGAGGCCTGACAGCTACAAGCCAGTTACAGCCACGTTAAGGCTATCATCAAAGCTACAATGGTCAGAGCTAAACTTCACTAAAAATACCATTTAAAAAATGCTGGTCTAAACACCAACATCACAAAAATACTATGAAGTCACAGTTATAAGAGAAAATGCTAAATAACATTGATTAAAGAGAAAAAGGTAATGCTTTAGCGTTAATTAAAGTCAATGGCCCCTAGGTCTTCTAACAGGTGACTTAGTCTGTCAGCTCTCTCCCCAGGTTCCATCTGTGGTAAGAAAAGGGTTTAACATTTTTTTAAAGGTATGATTTTGTGTTAAAAAGTTATTGTATAAAAATGTGTTGATAAATAAAGAACTGAGTGAGCAATGGCTAACCATCTAAACTTTGCAAGTGTCTCACACACTCATTAATGATGGTTGAAAATATCCACTAAGCAAGAGCTACAACAGCTTAACAATAGAAGTAGTAGTAGAGACTGCACTGGATGGAGCATCTTGATAGAATGACAAATAACAGAAGTGTAAAGGGGATGTAACACCAGAAACCAAAGGGGCAGCCACCTTTAGGACAACCATATTTGATAATGAGACAAAAGCCATAGATCGGTCAGAATGGAATGATGTTGTAGTGCAGAACCCTTCGCAGGCTTTAGCGCCACTGATGATGACAGTACATGAAACCTGTGATTCCCAATCAACTTCAAAACAAAAGAATGCTTGACTCATCATTAGAAAAGTAATACATTTGATAAAATAACAACTTTGAGTTTTAAATGTTAGATTAATCCTGCTATCATTAACAAATGATTTTCAAACATTTATTCCCATTTTGATGTGTGTAATTGTTAACGTAAATCAATTTAGTTCTTTTCAAACTCTCTAATCGTTTAGAAAAATAATTGTTGAAAAACCTTAAGTACCTGTCTGGCCATGTCTATCAGTGTGATGAGGGTCTTGATTCCAATAAACAAACTGAAAAAAAAAAATAAAAAAAATAACCCATTTAATTTGAACAATATAAATTTGGCTATTATATTGCAGGACTTGACATTTCATGGTTCCAAGTGATATATCTTGTAGAACCTGATCCCCATGTAATGCAAACCTCAAACTTTTGTTTGGAAAAAAAGAAGAAAAAAAAAAAAAGCTACAAAATGCCATGTCCATGTAAAATGTGATCTGTTAATATTGTTCCATAATAATTATACAATAACTATGAACAAAATAAATATTTATCTATAAGAAAAGTGTCAAAATCATAAAAACTATTATAACATTTAAATGAGTTGTCATACCGATACAGCTTTGCTAATATCCAGACAAAGTGGCATTACTTTCATTACTTTGTGTTATGAGCAGATACGATGCACAATCTTCGGAGAATGCAAATTGGCAAAGCAGAAATGTTTGCAAAGGCATTAGTATATATAGTTTAACAGTATTCACTTTTTCTCGCATGCTTGTATAATGCAAACCCATAGTTTTAAGCAGCATTTTTACCCAAAACTTCTCGCATTATACAAGGTAATATACGGTATATCTCATCAATCGCTGTAATCTTTCATGCAATGACAATTTTATATCTAAGCATGAATTAAATAAAACATATGTTTGACTCTATGAGAATACACGATTAACTTTAGTTCTTTTGTAACAAGACCTACATGAAATTCATGATAATTATCATATGAAGTAAGGAAATGTGTTTCCTTTCAGTTCAATACTAGAACGCCATTTTAGGAGGGAGTCTCTTTATGGATAAAAATTTAAAATAATTCACTTACTGTTTTCCAGTAGTTCTATGTTGTATGTCTTTTATCTCCTGATCACTGAAAACTTCGCAATCATTGAGTACTTTGATAAGTTGATCACTCGTCGATATGGCACTAACATGGGCCACAGTCTTGAACAGGGAAAGCATTTCAAAATCTTGGAGCACATCTCTCCGTGATGTGGTGCCAATTATGAGAAGCTTATGACCCTGTATAAAAAAATATTTACATTTAATTCATTTTTCAACACAACTTGTACAATTTATATACATTAATATTAATAAAAATGTAAAAAGTAACGTTTTAAATCGATTTTTATATTTTTAAAAATGTATTTGTTATCTAAATTTGCTAATACAGAAATTTTATGTAAATACACATCAATTGAAAATATGTAATGATTTGTTTTTGTGTAGTATGAGAAACAAACACTATTGATATAATTTTATTTTAGTGAAATAAGCATTCCTATGTTGTGATATTATTCTACCAAACCTTAGGTGGGTTTTTCTTCAGCAACACAAGCATAGCCTGCAGCACAAGATTAGAGAAACGAGGACCAACTGGCACATAATCTGAAAGAAAACATTTTAAAAAAATTACAACTTTGTGACAATGATCAAATAAAAAAGGGAATATCTGAAACAAAAAGGCTGTCTCCACAAAAATATGATATGTTACCATGAGTTTTTAAAGGGAGAAAAAAGTATTAAGTTTGTGACATACACACAAATATGATTTACAAATCTTCTTAAAAGTATTATTTAACTCTCAAATATTCTTGGTGGTCTGCCATTTATTCTCTCACATTAGGTACCTTTACAATATGGTTGGTTGTTCAATGAAGAATATAGCATTAATTGCATGTTTTAATATGTCTTTGGATTCAGAATAGAATTATCTATTATTTGATACAACTATCAGATGGTTAATTATGATTTTTTAGGTCAGGCCAAAAGCTTAAGCTTTTTGTTGACTAAATTTTTAAAAAAGCGTCAAGATACCACAAACAAAATGGTAGAAGCAAAATAAAATAATAAGTATTGAAACCTAAATCAAAATATTATTGTATCCATTTTTACAAAAACAATACAAAATTTCAATCAATTTTACCAAAATTGTATTAATTATTATCCTACTTTTTAAAAATGCATTCATAAATTAAAAAAAAATAGTTAATTCATTCCCGACGGTTGCGACTAAATGCGTCCTCGGGGGGTTCCTCCTGATGCGTCCAAATGCGTCCCGGCGCATAGCGACACACCTCTCTTATTTTTAGTTAAAAATAGCAATGAAATCTCGCACCCCTCGAGACTTCCGGCTATGGCGTGATTTCATTTCTGCGTGATTTTAATTTAGAAACCGGAAGTTTTTATCTTGTTTCACTTTAAAACTACGTGTGCTTTAGTACGGCGCGTCTATATGTACCATGTGTTCGTCCGAGGTGCCGAAAATCGATTTTTTGGCCATTGTTCGTTATTTTCCCCCCGCTAATGTTATATTTATATTAAACCTTATTCATTTTTTGTTGCATTTGTTCTTAATTCATTAACATTAAATAATATTTAGCAACTTAAAAAAATATTTTAAAAATATAAATCAATTTCAAAACTGAGTTGCTTCCCTTTTCTCAGGAAAATAAATTAAGTCCGGAAGCAGCGCTGCCGGAGGGAATGAGTTAAATTATAGATTTTTTATCATTTATTTTTAAATTTCTTGTTTTGTGTTGTCCACTGAAGAGGCATTTAACCGAAACAGCCTTTTAATTACCCTGTCTTTTTTTTCAAGCCCAAACATATATTGTTCCACTATTTATTAACTTGGAAAATATAAACAACACCCATAATTGTGTATTGAAAATACAACCTACACAAATTTAAAAAGAATGTAGACAAAATTATTCAATACAATTATTAAAGTTCCACACATTTTGCAGTGTCTTACCCAACAATCTTTCAATATCATCAATGATAATACAGCTGAGAGGAGACTTATAGGCATCGTCAAAAATCTATTTCAAAGAAAGAAATGTGTGGTAAAATTATTTGTAACTGAATACCACCTGACTTTTGAATTATGCACTCAGATGATTCCATTTACAAGTATTTTATTGTTTTCATAATGGCCTACTTTTTGTTTTTAAAATGCTTATATATATTTTTAATTAATTATATAAGACAGTCTTCTTGCTCAAGTACCTTACTAAATTCTGAATTTAAGCAGGAAGAATGAATTTCAAAAAGGCATGCACAAATGTGTTATTAGAATTGTTCAGATTTAACATACCTTCTTGATGACCTGGCACTTAGCAGCTTCTGTGTAGCCAATCATGTTTTCTGGTGAGCACAACTTCAGGAATGGAAGATCAGAATCCTTTGAAATCTTAGCTGCAAGGGCAGTTTTACCAGTGCCAGGGGGACCTGCATAAAATACAGCAATTAATATGTTATGTCTTAAAGTAACAGGTAAAACAAGGAATTCAATAAGCAGGAACTATAAAGCTTAATGGTGTTACTCATGGTCGACAAATGCATGGTAGGCTCATAGATGCTAAGGTACCTTCTAAGAGCATGGTCATAAGGGATATCTGGTCACTATTTTTTATCTGTGACACAACCAACTCTCCATCAGTCAGCACTCTGTGAACAGGGTCTCCCCAGACCAGTATACCCTGGCCAAGGAATACATCAAGTTCTTCCTTACTGCTGCCAAAAGCCTAAAAGATGACAAAGAAATATAAATATAAAAAAACCAGATTAAAGAATTTGTGATATTTATTGTTGCATAAATTAATCACAGCAACTGAACATTGGCCTCTGTATCTAGATTCTTGCATATCCATAAATGCTTACAGTTGTATTGGACTATTTGGTTGAGCAACCAACTAGAATGAAATCGAAGATTAAAATAATGTTGCAGTTTTCAAATTTAAACAAATATCATTCATTAATCTTACAGGTTTGATATCATGCTGAAGGGCATGTAAAAAATCAGCCCTGGTGATCTTCAGTTTCTCAATGGCTTCTGTATCAACCTCAACTTTAGATGTTGCCTGTTGATGATTGAATAAAATAGCCATTACAGACACAATTTACTAAGTGGCATTTTCATTTTGAAAAAAATACTCAAATTAGCACAAGAGCTGGACTGCTCAAATATTTTAAAGTAGACTCAACCAGAATTTTAATTTTATTTATCTTAACAATTTTTTTATGAAACAATAAAGCAGAAGTACAATAAAATTAAATGTGTAAGAGCCATTAAAACATTTCAATAAAATAAACAATGATCAAATAGGTTATAAGCTGTAAAAAAAACAAAAAAAACAAATGAAAATTCTATTAACAAAATTATGAATCAAATGGATTTAAAGCATGTGCCACCTTTATCAACCTGTTCATGGCCGTGGACTGGGCGGCCCTAACTAAACCCTCGATCTCAGCACCACTGAAGTTTTTGGTCACACTGGCCAGCTCGGCAATGTTGACATCAGAGGCCATTTTATTGTTGTTTCTCATGGTCTCAGTGTGAATATTGAGAATTTGGGTGCGGCCATGCTCATCAGGCAGCCCTATCTCCATCTGGACCTCAAGTCGACCTGGCCTGGTTAAAGCTTCATCAATCATGTCCTTCCTGTTGGTCATACCTGGAAAGCAAGTACACTGTAATGAGATAATGTGTTGATATGAAGCCACCACCATCCATGACCCTTCAAAACACAAAAATACCAAAAGATGAAGATATTAACTAAATCGATATGAAATAAAATTGATAAATATTTTTTTAGCTAAATTTCTATTGATACTCTAAAATGGAATTTAAAAAAATAGTTTTGATGCTTTTAAGTTTTTTTATTTAGCTAATAAATATCAATAAAATAAGACCATATAGAGAGAACAGAAGAATTTAATTCACTGTTTTTAATCACCTTTTTATTCATAAATAAAAATACTTTTTGCAAAAAAATTTGTTGGAAACACCGCAAATAAATTTTAAAAAAGTTCTCCGCAATAGATGACTTGAATAGAAACTCACCAATGACAAGAATATTATTTAGCTGCTCCACACCATCAAGTTTGGTGAGCAACTGATTGACCACTGTATCATGGACAGCAGAGTTACCAGCCTAAAATTCAAAGGATTAAGGAATTGCTACAAAAATTGAAATATCAAAAACTCATCTAACCCTTCGACATATCACAATCAGTAGGTTTGTTGTGATGTCACCAGGAATGGCAAAGGAGTGTTGAAGGTGGTATAAGTACCGGGTAAAATCCCCCCCCCCCCAACCTTTTTTCTCTTTCTCTATATCCCCCCTCCACCCAACTTCACCCTCTCTTACAAAACATCAACACTGCATGTTCTATATCACAATCAGTAGGGTTGGTGTGATGTCACCAGGAAGGGCAAAGGAGTGTTGAAGGTGGTATAAGTACCGGGTAAAAGCCCCCCCCCCAACCTTTTTTCTCTTTCTCTATATCCCCCCTCCACCCAACTTCACCCTCTCTTACAAAACATCAACACTGCATGTTCTTACCACAGAGCCTCTGGCCTTACAGATGGCATCTATTTCATCAAATATAATGATGTGCAGTCCACTGGCTGGGCCACACTGATAAAAGAGAATAAAAGTTAGATTGAGAGTCATTGAAAGTAAGATAATGATATTAATGAGTAAAGATCATCTGAGTATCTTTTACTTTACAGCTTGTAACTCCTGGGTAATATTTACAAGTTCTGATTCTTTAAATCTGACATGATCCAATAAGAACATTAATATGTGCATGGGGATAAAGATCATAATAATATTTAATATTTTAACCACTGGTATATTAAATGTTAAAGCATTTCACAAGTTAATAGGTCACTTAAATTATAGCATCAGTGTTGTGTCCAATGCATTTATATAAATGCACATGAAATTGAATGTTATCGTAGTTCCATAATATTTTAGCAAATTTAATATATTTAAAACCAATGTTAACATTACTAAAACCGATTGAAGGTCTAAATTAATAATAACTACGGTATTAAATTTACATCATAAATCACTCAATGGAGAAGCTATTTTTTAACCAGCAAGTGCTATGACATATTTACAAAGCTTGTCTATTTTATCCACTTGTAAGATATCATTAAAATATTGAACTAAAAAGTTACAAATTACCCTTTTCTCTTCTTCTTCAGCAGCAGCAAACAGTTTCCTGATGTTTGCCTCTGATTCTCCAACATATTTGTCCAGAATCTGAGGACCGTTAACAATTTGGGGTTCTCTTGCATTTAACATCTTGCCAATTTGTCTTTAAGTAAAAAAAGAGATTCACGGAAAGAGGAAAAAAATTACTGAAATTATAATTTAGGATTTAAAAAAAAAAAAAAAGTAATCTTAGTTTCTTTTATATACTATAAAGTTTTCTTTTCATATGTCAATCAGAATTTTTTTTCCAGCTGGATATTATACATTTATTAGGTAATTTATTGAACAGGTGTACAGCACTAAAATTTATTACCTTGCCATAAGAGTCTTGCCTGTACCAGGTGGGCCATACAGCAAAATGCCCCTAACATGTTTCATGCCTGGTGATCAAATTGAAAATTCAATTAATTTTTTTTTTATTGTACAAGACATAGTAAATCGTGATTTTTACACTTCTGAATTGCTGTCCAAATCCCTCAGTATTGAAAGTGACATAGATTTAATTAATTTAAAAATCTGGACTAACCACCTACCTAACTGTTCAATAACCTCTGGTGGGAAGACCCTCGAGGCAAAAGCTCGCCTAAAGATTCCACTAAATTCATCATCCAGACCTCCAATGCCCAACTTAGTGAAGTCCCAATCTGGGTTGATGATGGAAGTGTGTGACATTTTTCTGAAATAGATGTTAGGCAACACATTCAAGTATAGGAAGAATATCTAATTTGACAAGCAACAAGGCCTGTAAAATATGTTAAATACTCTATATTTATTAATTTAGTTTCAATATATCAGATTAATACATCATTAAGATCACAATTTATTCTTGATGGTTTCAATCCCCCATTTTCAATTTTTTTTAAAGATAAATGGAAATTTTCAATTGTTCTACTTAAAATAGGTTTATGCACTTAATTTTGTTATAAGTCATTCATACCCTTTAGATTTGCCGATAAAACTAAGAAGAGAACCTTCAGCTTTCTCAAAGATTATGACAGAGTTTGGCGCCAGAAAGCCAAGGCGAGACTGAAAGAAAAACAAATGTTAATGATGTAAAACTGCTTAATTTTTGTTATACTTTACTTATGCAACAAATTTGAAACACCTATAAAAATCAACAATTCTTGACCCTGTGTTTATTAATAGCATTGACACTTATTTTATTTCATCAGGCAAACTTACAATCAGGTGTAATTTGATTTTGTAAATTTATTTTTAGAAATGCCCCAAGAAAATTTTTTTTCCGTATGATGGGTTTTTAATTGGTCTATTTCATGATTGCACTTGTTATTGAAAGGTCCTCTTTGAGCTTCGTCTTGATTTCAATAATTTGTATCTCAGTTGCTACAACAGTAAAACTTACAGGCTTTGGAATACCAGACAAGTTTCCTTTAGTATCAACCTTTGTCAAGTCAAGAACTGGTTAGGAAGATAAGTCAATTTATAAACATGAAATATAAAAAAAATTTATAAAATGTAAACTCTGTATTTACCCACAACCCTCACCCACCCAAGTTTAAGGCCAAGTAAAAGGACAGTGATTTTATTTTTAGCAAGAAGTAAAAGAAATGAGAAAATATTGCTATGTGATGTGTGGAACATGATAATTAACTGTAACATAATGATATTTGATGTTCATTTACTGCTGAGTAGAAAGCACTATTTCACGTCAGTGTAGTGATACATGTAGCAGTATATAATTATAGAGGGTGAGGAACTAGTTGAGCAGCCATATTGTAATGGATTGGAAAGAAGTTATGAAGATTTTATCTCATTTGAGTAATAAAGAAGTATACAATGCGAAAGTGACTTCACATGTTATATTCTGAAGAGAAATGGATGAATCACAAACTATTTTAAATCATCATTCCAATATTTGTCATATGTGAATATTATTCTGTGAAATGTAAATAAAGAAAGAATTTATATGTGAAGACTTTGACTTTGCGTTGGTACAGTGGCATGTGAGAAATAATTAGTAGTTAACCCTTATTTGAAATGCACTAAGATATCCACTCAGGTCATGACAAGCAATAATAGTAACAGTGGTATCAGTATAGAGAAAGGTTAAAGTAACAGAATGTGATCTGTTAAGATGAACACGCATAGCTATTATTAGTGGTTTTATATAGCCCGGTACCCAAGCCTGGCTACATTCAGAAGCTACAAATAACCTTGAATATTCTTCACTTTTGCTGAATACAACTTCTTGTCATATCTGAAAGCCAATTGTTGCTCTTCTGTAAAAGCTACATAGGTAAATTCTTGGGAGAACTCTTCTGCCATTTTGTCACTATCAAGAGTTGTAGATTGTTGGCTGTCAAAAAAAAAAAGAAAAATACTTCATTTGTAATATATACTGAAGCAATCTTTAAATGGTGTTTGGTTATTTAAAATAATATGTGGCAATTTGCTGAATAAAACTTCTTGTCATATCTGAAAGCCAATTGTTTCTCTTATGTAAAAGCTACATAGGTAAATTCTTGGGAGAACTCTTCTGCCATTTTTTCACTATCAAGAGTTGTAGATTGTTGGCTGTCAAAAAAAAAAAGAAAAATACTTCATTTGTAATATATACTGAAGCAATCTTTAAATGTTGTTTGGTTATTTAAAATCATATGTGGCAAAAAAAAAAAAAGACAAAAAAAAAAAAAAAAAAAAAAAAAAAAAAAAAGAAAGAAAAAGATTAATAATGGTGAGCTGCCCCAATCCAAACATGTAAACAGGTGTTAAAGCATTAAGATACACTCCTTTTAAGATTCATTTTTGAGATGTGCAACAATTTCCCCACATTACATAAGCACTTTGTTGTCAGATTAAACTAAAATTACTTTTTGATAGTGCACAATTTCTCTGATATTAAATGAAATATATTCTGTAAAAGAATTTTAACTAGTTGTAAATTTTTAAGAAAAAAAATAAAAGGAAAAAAAATAGTAAAACAGAATTCCACTATCAATGTAAAAGTTAAAGTAATACCGTAAAGACTTCAAAAATTTATAATTTATTTATGGGTTAAAATTTTGTTTTTAAGAACCTTTTAGATTACAGTATATTATTAACCATATATAATGAAAAGCAAACTATTTAGCTTAATACAGCTGATATGTTTTAAATACCTTGTCACAAACAGTGTGCTTATTTTTGGAAGCCATTGTGAACAGTATTAAAAGAACTCCACATTACAAAAGATAAAAAAAATGTATCTGAGAATTGTTTTCTTTTTAAAGTGTCTCTGTTGTGCTAGCTTCTGGGCTTACAAAGTCTCATTGGTTACTATTTATCATTATATGTCACTAGATAATATCATATATGATTATAGCTGACATAAAAAAAACTTTTCTACACACTATTAAACTTCCTTCCACCTAGGTAACTAAGATCTGAAGCAAAGCTGGTCACAAGTATCTACAGCTGAACCAGTAATCGTAAATGTGGACATTTCATGTATTAAAAGTCAAAACACTAAATATAAACTTACCCTTTTTTGGAAAAGAAATCAGCCTCAATAGTGATGGTACTTATGCTTTCTGTTTTTGGGTTGAAGGTGTAAGGTTGAACTTTCAATTCAGCACCCAACATGATATCTGCCCACTTACGCTAGGGAAACAAACAGTGTACATGGCTGTTCAAAATCTTACAAGGCAAGGAGGATGTACTCTTGGAAGAATGTTGCTTGTAAATCATAGCATTTTATATAGTGACCCAGAAATCAACGTGCTTGAGTAGGTGATTCTTGGAGATTCTTGAATGGTGGTGTAACACAGAGTAGAGTTGGAAAGTGGCATGAAGAAAAAGGAGCTCTCTTGATAGATGTTATTGGTTGGGAGTATGATGTGCAAAAATAAAGAAAGGGGTAGGTGCAATGAATGGATCTATAGAAATAGAGTGAAGGATACTAGGCAAAGATATAGGAATAATCAGGGAGGGAGGGAGGCAGGGATTAGGGAGAGAGGGAGCATTGTATTAAAATTTTAATGCACAGTAGACCAAGCAAAAATTGAGAACAAAAGAGATGTAGTAGCATCATTTGTAACTGTGGAATTTTGACCAAGTCTTTTAACAATAAAAGTAAATAATAATAAATCAACTTCTTTTGACTTTAATTTCATCTTCATCTTTAATTGTATTATAATTTTATAAAAACATGATAATATAGTGCTACTCTCCTTAAAAAAACAAAATGAATAAACAACATACTTAAATTGAGATTTTTTACCTTCATGCATTTTCATAAGCTTTAATAGATGACATCAATTATCTTTAAAAAAAATAATAAAGCTTAAAATTTAAAAAAAAAACATTTAACATACATGTGCTGCATTGAACCCCATTTCTTTTGGGCGTTTCATAGAGGAATGTTGCTGTATTGTGAAAACAAAGTTCCTCCTACTGTCAGCTAAAGAAATGGACACATGTCTGAAAGATATATAAAATAAGTGTAAGCAATAGATTCATTTAATATTTGTGATCACAACATTAGACACTTATAACCACATAGACCTGGAATACATTAATTAAGAGAAGTGGGTTTTGCTGATCAAAGAAAACTTAGGAAACTGTATAATAAGAAGAAGAATTCCCAATGCGTATTCAGTCAAGGATCCCTCTGTTTCTACTATTACTTAGTGCTCATGGTTTAGAATTTTGAGGGAAAACCCTGTTAATTGTCAGCATCTGGTCTTTTAAATTACACTAAAAGAGTGCACAGCTGGGTTTTGAATAAAATCTCTAACAAAGAAACAGTCTTCAGAAATCTTTTTACAATAGATTTCTAATTAACATTCTATAGTTACATACTTCACATTTGGCAGTTCATTTTCAGACACTATGACACGATTTCTAATGGAGAGCTCTTCATCTGGGCATTTCACAGCTTTGAAGATCTTCAAAAAAAAAAAAAAAGAAGAAGCATTCAATTCAACAATACACAAAAAATACATACTTCACATTTGGCAGTTCATTTTCAGACACTATGACACGATTTCTAATGGAGAGCTCTTCATCTGGGCATTTCACAGCTTTGAAGATATTAAAAAAAAAAAAAAAAGAAGAAGCATTCAATTCAACAATACACAAAAAAGAAGCAATTCAAACAGAAATGAACAATTATTAAATAATAAATATTGAAAACGGAATATCAAATATATTTTTTGTCAAGCGGTGAAATGGAACATTATTACTGTTGCAATGCCTATTACTATTAGTAACTAACTGCCCTGCCATAATTTACTAATTATGCCTTGGGACTAGCACCTGTCATTCAGAATAACTTAACAATTGTTTTAAAGGTTTTCTATATTTCATTCAATATTTTAAGTGTACTATACATATTTATATACCAGCATTTATGAAACTTTTTTTCTCTTGTGACATAAAAAAAATAATTACAAAAATTGTTTGAAACACCACATAAATTTTAAGAAAAATATCTACTGTTTGATGAGGACTGCTTTTCAGCAAATCAAGGGCCCTGTACAAAAAAAATGTATAGACATTTTTCAGTCTGTTTCATTTAATATATTCAATGCATCTAGTCAAAAACCATCATTTAAAGGCTAAACAAACTGTTAAATCAAACATTGGGATTTCCTTCCGGATAATGAAGCGCTTGTTTGCCAAGATCCATCTCTATCCATGTAGAAACGTATGTGGATCAATTAGTCAATTATCCTTTTATAAGTAAAGTTTCAGGCTTATTTTTTAATCTACTATTTTTTCTACAACAGTTTTAGGAATTTTATAAATGAGCAAATGGTACTAAGCCCGTTCTTTGAAAAAAAATGAGTTAGTGCCCTTTTGTTAATCTATTGCCTAAAATACACATTTTTAATCTCTCATCTTAACGTTCAGAAGGCCTTTATTTTAAATAGAAAATGTAGAGTAACCTTCAAAATGCTAGTTAAGTTGTAACACAAAATTCACTTTCCTGAAAAATGAGTTTGGTTGGACTTAGTACCTTTTGTAAGTGGGCTCCTCAAATGACCTTATAATTTTTCTACAAATTTTTAGGAGTTTCCTTGAATGTAATGAAATTGATTTAAAGATATTCCTTTAAAGTTTGTAATTAATTTTCATTTATTGGCCTAAGCTATATACATAAATGAAGTTGCAGGCCTAGATTAAAGTATATACTTCTATTTTATTTTAATTGATATATGCAGACCTGTTTACCCTCAAACTCTTAAAATCGTACAATATCACCAAAATATTTACATAAGTTACCAATGTGTTTTTTTTTATCTAGGAGAATTTTTTTTTTTTTACATGTTATTTAGTGATGTGTTTTTTTTACAAGCCTCTTCCTTAATTTCAATGTTAGCTAAAAGGCTGTGGAAGTTTTTTCCAAATGCAATCCCGGGAAATACAGGGTATATTGGCCAGCATATTATAATAATTAGGAATATCTGTACTTATTGCATTTTTAAAGATTCTAAAATCATTCCTTGCCCTATCAGCTAGCCTAGGCCTTTACCACTAAATAGGTCTAAACACATAATTAGTTGGTTATACTTCTACTGTCCAAAGTATAGGGCCTACTCTGCCCTATCTTAGTATCTATAGGCTTAGACTATGTTATAATGTTGATATATTTTAAGAGGCAATAATAGGCCTAGGGGCCTGGTAAGTAGGCCTAATCCAGTCTATAGCTGAAGTACTTTTTAGTACCATTAATATAAGGCCACATTGGCATAACTCGGAATGAGCAAGCAATGCTCCAGCGCAATTCTAAAGGCAAAAAAAAATGATCACGTGACACCACTACTGGATTGACTCCCTGTACAAGCACAGATTGATTACAAACTTTCTATTCTATGCCACAACTTTTCTCGAATTCCTCCCCTTCCTATCTAACCGAACTTCTCTCCGTGTATTCACCCCTTCGACAGCTTTGCTCCTCCGCAGATGCGCATATTCTTTCTGTCCCCAAGACTTGCACAAAAACATACGGTGAACGATCGTTCTCTTTCTGTGTCCCCAAGCAATGGAATTCTCTTCCATTACACATCCTCAATATACCGACCATCACAGCCTTCAAAACTGCACTCAAAACACATCTTTTTAAACTCTACTATCCTGACTGATTCCCACCTCTGACCAAAAAACGATGCTACTGGGTGTCATCCATGGCTTGACATGTAAATATTTTAAATGTACATTAGTATTGTTTTATTTAATTAATGTATGTCAATTAAGTTTTTAAGTTTTATGATTATGTTTGTTAAATTGTATGTACAGCGTGGTGAGCCCAGCCCTATGCTGGGGTACCACACTATATAAAACCACTTAAAATAATAATAATAATAATTAGGGGCAGCCCAGACACAACCTAGCCTGCCGATGACCCAAAAAGGGAGTGGCTTAACAGTTGAGTTACAGGAACTACCACACAAAAGATTTGCCAGACCATGATTGGACTGAACAGAAAGAACCTTGGTGGTAACTAAAGCACAGACAGTTGAGTGTTGTGACTTAGATGAGAACTGAACATTGCCTACATGTAGCTATTTTATAGACTAAATTCTCTAAAGAACCTGACTTGTCGACACTGTACCCAAGTGTCAGAGACATTTACTGACTTGCTAGCTGAGTGTCCCAAGCTGAGAAATGGGGGTAGGTTGGATCCTAAAAGTCAATATAACGAGATTGCTTTACGATTAATTGGGATGTCCTGTAGAAGAGCCTCACCTGTGATGCACTGACCCATGCCATAAAGAGCAAAATATCTTAGTTCAAAAGAGAATGTATAAATTTGAGTCGTATTCATTAAACATACTGATAAGTACTGGTAGTACTGTAGGCACTTTGTTAAGGCAAAGGAGACCACTTAAAAATTTGAATGGGAAATCTGCGCAGAAGAATCAGAGTTTTTAATTTTTGAATGTTGCTACTTTTTCATTGATGAAAGGACTATTTTGTCACATTAGTGAACATGTCGATCTGCATTTCCATTTTATTTGCCTTTTTAATCGACCCCAATATAAGAAATTCATAGGTAAATGTAAGGCTTCTTTCCCAACAAAATTTTGTAAGAAGTTCAAATATGTGTCTTTCATAATAATTCTTCATCTGCATTTTATAGTGTGCCAATTCTCATTGAGCTAGGACATGTTGGCCATTAGTTTAGTTATACTCATCTTAATAACCTGCATTAACATAAGGTCATCCTGTCCCATTTTGACCCCACCCCCTTTTTAATGGTGTAAGATGCCAATTCTTATGAATTATTCACATCAAAATATTTGATAACTTGTATTTCAGAGTAAACTTAGAAGGTATTTAAACAAGAATTTTTTAATTTGAGGTTTCAAAACCAAGTGGTCTATAACATAAATTATCATTATTATCATAAAATGCTGTGTACAAAACGTTGTCATGGGCAGCCATTCACAATCACAGTCACTAGCATGTACAATACTAGTATAGTCTAAGGGACCTGGTCCGAATAGCAGCTATGTGTACCTGGGTCCCTATTCGATTATTCGGGGTGTCATTTGTGGTAGTTTATAATAAGGTTTATAAGAAGTAAGTTTACAAACATATAATATAGTCCAATTACAATTCATTTGATACCAAATTTTGTCTTATAACTACAAAAATATTTTTAATAAACCCAACCCCACACTTCTGATACCCGGGTCTGAATAGCCGCAGCCAATTTTTAATCTGAAACCTTGGGGGGGGGGGAGGATATATTTTTTTTAGTTAGGCGGTTAGGAAATGCCAAATATTAAAATTAAACAAGATCAAACTATTTCAAAATCAAATTACTTACCATTGGTTGCGACATCTTTATGTATATGATAGCTACTTAGTGGGGTGTAATATTAAAGCCAACTGCTTACCATTCCTACAATACTATATATTAAATTATGTCATCTGTCACTACAGTGAACGTCTGTTGTTTTGACACTACAGGAAATCGTTATTGAACTAGTCCCGTTACCGAGATCCCAGTTAAAACAGATTTTTTCCGAGATCAGCACTTTAAAAAAAAAGTATTAATGATAAAACTACACATTTAAAATGTTACGTTGTAAAATTTCTTTAGAAATATATTTGACAAGGGAATTTCAATAAGTCTTCAATTTATATTTGTGAAATAGTAGACCAAATTTTCTGAATCTTTTACAGACTCCAGAAAATGTATATATATATATATGAAAAAGTTTGTTAATTTATTCGACAACATTCATTGAGCTTAACATGACACGTTGTTATATCAGCATGGTATTTATTAAGAAGTCATACAAAATTAATTTCAAAGCTGTGGCAGGGCCGATGCTAGGAGGGTGCGGGGCCTTGGGCTAATTGAATTTTGCGGGGCCGTTGACGTTATATTGTTATATATTCCGCAGATAGAATATTAAGACACGTTATAGTCGTACTGGGGCCTTGCTGGTCATAATGGAACGCCTCATAATGGATATTTATCAACTCGCTTAGTTTACGAAATTTCTCTTTCTGGATTAGGAACTATTAGTAGGCTTAGGTATATATTATAAATATGCTGCGGCAAAGCGCGGGGCCTGCCCTCTTTGCCATCCCCTTTACGCCGGCCCTGGCTGTGGTGTATCTAGGGGAACTATGTTGTTCTATGTGTAGCCACAGGTCGTGTCCCTTATCACGCTCCACCCTGGTTAAATTAACAGTAACAAGAAAGAATTCCACCTGACATAGTCAACTTTTATTTCGCTCTACCCGAGCTGGGTTAACCACCCCTCCCATTCTTCTAGTTTGACCTTCTTCTATGACAATTATTTAAAAAGTAACTGTAACGGTTTTATTTTATCTCCACGCTCTTCTATCCATATTCATCCTCATGTCCCTTAGTCCTTGGACCGTTGGGGCGGCGCAGATGACATGTGAACCATCCTCCTCCATTCCTCTCTGTCTTCAGCACTACGCACTGCATCGCCCAGTGTTAGTCCTGACCACTCTTTGATGTTATCCTCCCACCTTTTTCTTTGTCTTCCTCTTCTTCTCCCTCCTCTTGTGGTGCCCATGTTTCCTTGTTACGTGGCCGTAACATTGTAATTTGCGTTTTTTCAGTCACGATATTCATATAGGCCCAACTTTTTGAGCGATACTTATAGTGGCATATAGGCCACACTAGACAGTTTTATGATTGACAAATGTTAATTTAAAAATCACACTATTCGCTACTTTTTAAATATTAAATAATTTACTCACACCGTTAAAAAAATATGACAAACAAAATAACTACATATTTCAGATTGAACTCAATATGATATTGGATCTCGGTAAAAAGGATTACCCATTATTAGTTCAGTATTAGTCCAGTCGTAGAAAAAAAGATGGAGGCTCTACCGAGGCTTCCAATGTTATCATTCGAATTAAAGCATAGTCCAGTATACATAGAATTTGGACTGACGCTGAAACAAGTGTGTATATTTCTTTATTGTTCTTATTTCTTAAATGTTTGGATGGGGTGATGGATTATTTATTACTTCTTGTATTCTGATGATTCATAGTCATTCATCTATGATGCGACTTTCTTTTTTTGTGTGTGTTGTGTTCCAAAACGCCAAAAGTAAAATAAAGCCAAAGGCTAAACTGGCTAAGTGTGGAAAGATTAAAGGCTAAAGGAGTAAAACAATAATAATAATATTTTTTTAAAATTTGTAAATGGTAAAAAATAATTCTTAATTCTCAACCAATCATCAGTTAAAGACTTTAAATACAGAATATGAATAGAGGTACCCAGAATAGAGTAGTCAGAATACCGTGGATTTGGTTTTCCTTGGACTGATTGATAATTTTCCTATTCAATTGAATTTGTCTGTCAGTGTCAGGCTTGCAATTTTCTCGGCTGACCATGAATGATCACATCCCTTGCCCTGAAGTGCCTAGACTGGGCCTTACCAGGCCTAATGTGCAATAATATAGGCCTAAGAAAGAGAGTTGTGAATGTAGGAACTTCTTTTATAGGCCTAAGAAAGAGAGTTGTGAATGTAGGAACTTCTTTTATCAACATTCATGTATTCAGTCCTCGTGCACCTATAATTACTAACTATAAGTATAATTAGTACTTGAGGCAATGGGCAAGGGTACCACTTCTGTGGTACTTTGAAAGCACTCTGATGGGTCAGATTCCTGTATGTTATGCAGATATTTCTCAATAAAGTTCTGCATTAGGTCTCTTTGGTCAATATAGCCCTGCTGCCTCCCCCCATGTGATGTGCAGTTCAAGTCCAGTAAACTGGCCTGCTTCACTCCTGATGCTGATTATGCTGGCATTTCCTTTAGTTATTTTTCTGTAGCAAATCGGTTTTTACTGGATTGAGTTCCTAGCCCCACCAACCCTCCTCCTGACTTTGTTCAGGCAATGGTGTTGTGTGAGTTTCAAAACAGTACTGAGTAATCAAACTGAAAAAGAAGTTTTAAAACTCAATTTTTTTACTTTGAATTTTAAATTTTTATATTTTCACACTACTTTTTAATTTAGCTTCATTATTTAGAAGAGCGCTATAAAATATTTTTATTCAACTCAGTCATTCTTGATTTTTACAACAGATTTTTCACTCATTTATTGTCCCAGTCTTAGAAGCTAAATTACAGTGTAACACCAAACAATTAAATTAATCTTTTAAGTTCTATAGTCAGATATCCTTGTGTATAAAGATTTTATATAAGAAGTGGTTTACTGGAGGTTCCTAGGGTTCATTTTCAGTAAAATTTCTCTTGGACTGTTACATTATCAAATAATAACTGCAGGTCATGCTGGAGCCGCAGTCATCTTTACCTGATTCTGCAATGTTGTATTTGTTGATGGTGGTGGAAACAAAGGGAGTTCTGTTATTAAATACATGAGTCAAAATGCTGCCAGACCAGAGGCTTTTAACCTTTTCGGTAGAGCCATACCCCCTCTTGTTTTCAAAACATTTCATGCAACCCTGTCTCAATTTTAAAACATATTTCCTGCACCTCCACAATAAAAATGCTAAGAGAAATTCAAATAAATCTGATTTACCTGCACTCCCAGGGGGTGCGAGCACCCAGGGTTAAGAAACCTGCGTTAAAGAAAGGAAACTAAACACTTTGTTTTCGTGGCAGAATAGTATGACACACTTTATCAGGATGTAAACAGTTTTCTAATTTTTTTTAAAATCTTTAATAATCAAAGATAAAATGTTGCGGTTTCATGACTCTCACAAATTAAATTAGTGCACTTCTTGCTATTTCATAAACATATTTTAAATCTGCATTCAATTAAAAAAACAGACTAATCTAGTTATAAAAGAATGGTTGAAGAATGGGGAGAGTTATTATTCATCATCATACTGATATGCCCTAGTGTGCCCATATAATATCTAGGATCTCTCATTTTGATCTGTCTGTTTCTTCCATCTCCATGTTTCTCCACACCATCCTCATTACCCTAGAATATTCTATTATTTTTAAATTCTATTTCCATGTATCAACTCTTACAAGTGCAAAGTAATCAGCTCTTATTTAAAATGAATTATTTTGTGTCATTTATTTTAGTATATCAGAGATCATTATGGGGAAGACCCAGCTCTCTACAACAAAGCCTGCACTGACCTGGAGCAGCTTAGACTGGTATTTTTAAAATTTATAACTAGATATTAAAACCTTTTAAAACTCAAAAACATGCATTCAGTTTAACAGTTAACAATAAATGTGTAACTTTTATTCATACTCATCTTTTCTTACTTTAGTCTGCTATAGAAGTGAGCAGAGATTTCACAGGATGCTCAACTTTAAAAAAGTACTATGCACAGCTATTATATTTGCAAGGTCGGTTTCCTATGGCAGAAGGTGGGGAGGCAGCCATTGCTTTCACATGGTAAGAATTATTGTGCTTATATAATCTGAAATTTTCCATAGTATGAAGGTCCTTTTCAAGCTGATTTTGAGCTACGTTGTTGTTTAATCTATTTAAATTGCATAAATTAAAATTCCGTCTTTTTGTTGCATGTAAATCAATTGATATAACCTTGTGCCTCAAATCTCCAAAGATTATCCATCCACCCCTGTGGCGCCACAGCCCGTAAATGGCTTTGGCCTGGCTCACTACATCCTTCTACTCAGACCTAACTAATGCTTTTATTTTCCATGCTTGGATTCCCAGCTGTTGTAGATCTTTTTCCACATAATCCAACCATCTAAGCCTAGGTCTGCTTTTGCGCTGTTTTCCTCTGGGGTTTTGGTGATGCACCCTCTTCACTCCTCTGTCATTTGGCATTCTCTCTAAGTGTCCCGCCCAGCGTAGCCTACCGTTTTTTTATTTCTGACACTATGTTGGGATCTTGATATACACTGTCAAAAGTTTATGTAATTTATATATATTATGTATGGAGTATTACTCAACATGAGCTTTCAAATCACCAGTCTCACCTTATGATGTATTCAGTTTGTTATGCATCATATAATTTGAATAGTTTTGAATACGCTCTTACTATGTCAGGGGTCTCAAACTTGCGGCCCGCGTTAAATTTGCGGCCCGCACGATGATATTTTGCGGCCCGCTAACTGACAGCAAAGTTTAGCGTTAATGTGGCCCACACATTTTCCCTATTCTCTATAATGTGATAATACTCAGTGACGGTTTCAGTCTAAGCTCACGAATAGTCTAAATCTGATTTTTATTATGTTTGTATAGATTTGGATGTTGATTATGAGCGTTTTAGAATCAGACTACAAGTTTTTATTTTATAGCATTTTATGAGACAAACATGGCTAAAGTTTTGGTTTTGAGAAAAGATTAAAAAGTCAGTTGGTGAGTAATGCACAGCTACAATTGTGTTAAATCGTAGCAATCTGACACAGTATCAAAGAATCCCTATTACAATTGCCGCTAGTGTTTACGAGTGAGTGAAAGGCCAAGCCTGTCAGCTCGGTCACTTTCATAATAGAGTTCGTCAAAAATGCCTTTTCTACAATAAAGAAAATCAAAATTCATCCTCCCTTCAAGAGCATCTTCATTTACATCAATAATACATCAATATTGTCTGCACCTGCTTGCTGTTTGAACACGTTTTAGCATTTAAAGCCTTCATGGAAAGGGTGAGGTGGTTGTTCCTGTATTAAGTGATCCAAATGGCTCATGGACTTGGCTTTATTGTTTTGTTGATATTACACAGGAGCTGAATGTACTTAACAAGAAGTTACAGGACCAGGGGCATCTTGTCAGTGTTTCTATGACAATATCGGGGCATTCTGCACAAAACTTGTGTTATTGTTCTCAGAGAACCATTTCCCAACATGAAAGTTCTCGTCGACTCGGGCACACAATTCAGTAGTAAAGTATACTGATGCCATTGTTAAGCTACAGGAAGAATTTGATCAAAGATTTGCAGACTTCAAAATACACACAGCCACTTTTCAACTTTTTGCTGACCATTTCTTCTTCATTGTGGAAGATTGAATTTTTTTTTGTTTTTGTTTTTGTTCGCACTTTGATTGAACTTCAGTGCAAGTTCAAGGAGGTGACTAGAAACACAGACAAGCATGGAAAATTTGTGACAGGATTGCCCTACACCTTCCCTGAGATTTCCAGGTTCATGTGCCTTTTTGAGAGAAGGCCTACCTATCTGTGTGAAAAGCTCTTTTCAACTATGCACTTTAACAAGTCAAAGTTCAGGGCCAAAATTACTGATGAGTATCTTCAAGTTATACTGAAGGTCTCAGTAGCATCCTCACTCATGCCAAATGTTACTCAGCTGTGTATGAAGAAGAGCTGCTACATCAGTGGCAACATGGAGTAGGAGGATTAAAGTGAAGCCTAGTTCTTGACAACCCTTAATGTTTTTATTTGCTATTAATAAAGGTTGAGCACATTGTAACTGTTGTACTTTAATGAATTTGTAATTGCTTTTTTGTGGACTACTTGATGCGGCCAGTCTCACTCAGACTTTACCTCTTGCGGCCCCCGGATAATTTGAGTTTCAGACCCTTGTACTATGTAAACTCATTTATTAAATAAATTGACTAGTAAAAAAAAAAAGAAAATGTTTATTTTAAATACAATCACAAATTTATCGACTTTTTTTTCACTCATAAATGCCATCTCTGTTTTTGTTTGGGATATCTACTGTTATTTTTCAAATTTTACCAGGGAGGATGTTCAGACTGGCAGAGATCATGTGATCTATGACATAAAGTTTGAGCAAGCCTGCATCCTGTACAACATCGGCAGTCTTCATTCTCTGCTGGGTGCCCTTGACACCAGACACAATGCTGAGGTTATATTTTTAAATTGTATAGTTTTTTTGTAATGTCACCAACCTGGCTGTTTCTATTTTCAATCTGACTGTAGTAATTTGTCCCACACAAAAGTTTCCTTTTCACTATGAAGTTAAGATACAGGACAAAATAACCACACATAAAAAGACAAGTCTTTTAAATGTTTCACATAATTTCCAAAAAATGCCCTTATAGCTTTGGTTTAAGAAAATGTACCAAATAAAATGTATGCCTGAGATCACCACACCGACCCATGATGTGTTTTTTTTAACAACTCACGGTGTCAGAAAATAATGTTGCTGATGTTTATTTTCTTTGCTTTGTTTTAAGGGGATGAAAGTATCTTGCACCCACTTCCAGTGTGCAGCTTGGGCATTTGAGCTGTTGCGTAACAACTACTGCAGCACATCCATGAGCACAGACATGAGCTTTGAGCTCTTAAATTTTCACATATATCTGATGTTGGTAGGTAGCAAGGTTTATTTTAAAATCATATAAAAACATTGTCTTCTCTTTAAAGGATGAAAAACAGTGCTGATATCCATTCAGGGATTTAAAAAATGATGCCACAATGTATTAAAATAAACAAATTAAATATAATAATTAACATTAAATGAAGTGTATAGTAAGGACTTATGTGGATAGTTGTTCACTAGTTTTGATTCTTGGAGAAAATTTACTGTTTTTTAAGCTGACCATTTAGTTGCGTGAAGCATAAATAAGTCTCTTAATATTACCAGAAAAAATGACTGTGAATTTCAAAAATTGAATGTGTTAGATATCCTCTAATCTCAAAACTAATAATTTTCTACAAACTAAGAGGCAAATATGGCTATTACACATACAAAATATTTCATACATTGTCATAACTTAGTTTAGATTTAAGGCTCACAATTAATTACTTGAGATTCATGAGGAAAGAAGAACATGAATCATGAATAATAGCTTAACAAAAGCCAAGCTAAATGAGATCTTAACAAACTGAATCCTTGTTAATTTCAGAATGTTTTAAAAGTCATTATGTTATTTCAAATTTTTTTACAATAAACCTTGCCCCCCAGGCCCAAGCTCAGGAGTGTATCTTGGAGAAGTCTATGATTGACAACAGGAAGAACAGCATCACAGCCAAAGTGGCTGCCAAAGTTGTAGAGTTCTACAAAGACACCTGCACACTGATCGACCAGGCAGACCAGAAACAACAGATCAACTCCAGAATGCACAAGGTTTTTCTCATAGTTCTTATACCAGTCCTTGAATTTCATCTTTTGTAATGAACTAAAAAAACATGCTTTCCTTGAGTTGAAATAGTGACTAGTGGCCAGTTTCTTTGCTTAAATCCAACTAACAGTATTAATTCTCTAATAAAACCTTCCAAGATTGTTCACTGTGAATACCATGCCTTGCATAATTATTTGAATAACAGAAGCAATTAAGCCGTACAATGAGAAAATATTATTTGTTAACTTATGTTAACTCATTCCCTCCTGCAATGCTACTTCCGTACTTAATTAATTTGCCAGAGAAAGGGAAGTAACTCCGTTTTGCAATTGATTTACATTTGTTAATATTTATTTAAGCTGCTAAATATTATTTAATGTTAATGAATTAAGAACAAATGCAACAAAAAAATGAATAAGGTTTAATAAAACTATAACATTAGTGGGGACAAAATAGCGAACAATGACCCAAAAAATCGATTTTCGGCACCTCGGAGGAACACATGCTACATATAGACGCGCTGTACTAAAGCACGCATAGTTTTAAAGTAAAACAAGATAAAAACTTCCGGTTTTTAAATTGAAATCACGTTGAACCACGCCTTCGCCGGAAGTCTCGAGGGAGGTGTGCTGCTTTGCGCTGGGATGCATTTGGACGCATCTGGCGAAACCCCTAAAGGACGTATTTAGTCGCAAATACCGGGAATGAGTTAATAAGTCAATTCAAGCATCTTCAAAGTTTGTTACTTAATCATTGAAATCCACATAAAAACGATAATATTTATCCATGTGGTGAAAATGAATATGTACAGTTTAATACAAAAAAACCATTTCCATTTATTTGAATCAATAAAAGAATCTTATCTTATTGGTTTAAATAGTACTGTTTTAGTTTTATCTTGATTTGTATGTAATAACTAGTTGGGTGCTAAAAGAAAACTGCATAATTTTACACAAAATATCCTAATATTCTTGTATCTTGTAAAGGTGTAATACATTTGGCGTATACACAATCTGTGTGCCCTGTCTTATAATCTTCATGTAAAACTGGTTGTTTCAGGAGTGGAGCAAGCGTCTGATTATGAAGTCTGCATTCTATCAAAGCATCACCTACTACTTCCTGGGCAGGGATGCAGAGGAGGCAGAGAAGCCTGGCGAATGCCTGGCCTATTACACTGCTGCCCGTGATGAGTTGAACAAAGCTATACAGCTAGCAAAAGTAGGATATAGAATTGGCTAAACAACTTTACAACATGAAACCATCCCCAAAGCCAAAACTCTGCCCTGTCTATATTAATAAGAAAATAGTGCTAAGATATATGTTATATCTTATATTATTAGATTATATATTTTTATAGAAAAATAATTTTATAGTTGGCATCTCTTAAAAATTTATATCCACATAGTGTATAGAGAAAAAAAACATCTTATCTACATGACTTTTCCCTGTTACAGTGCAAAGTAAGGTTTTTTAGCATGGTGAATTCAATAACTTTGTCAAGTCAGAAGATATTGATTTTACTTCGTTAATTTAAATGCAGGAATCTATTTTTACAGCTAGCATAATAAACAAAGGAATTATGTCCAATTACATGTAAATTACTATCAAATTCACTATCTGAGTCCATTTTTAACCAATATATATGGATCAGTGTAAAAAAACCCCTCAAATTTAACAAAATTGGGACTTTAAATAAGCTATTTTCATTTTATAGTTGCAACTACCCAGTTATGAAAGAAATAAACATGCAAGGATGATTACTCAAAAAAAATATTTTTGTTGCTATGTTATATGGACACCGTCTGGCGACATGTAGATAAAAAGATTAAACTCGATTGCCACCCTTTGGCATGGTGTGGATATGAAGTGTTAATTAGTTAACATAAAAGACTAAGGGTTTCACTTACTTCCTTCTTTTTCAGCATGAGGTGCCTGAGGTACAGGAATGCTTACATTTTGCCAAAGATGTCGTCATGGGAAAGTTAGTGCTTTTTTTTTCTTCCATCTAAATCTTCTCTCTCCCTCTAAAAATATAACACAGGACTAAAGGATTTTGTCATTCAAGATACATGTCTGAAAATTGAAAATTCATTACTTATATTGATTATTCTATTTTATTCCTAAGTGTTTAGTAAATGACATACTTTGCTCAAAAGGGATGAAAAAACATAAATTAAACACGTCTAATTCAGAAGTATACATTTAATACTTTTTCTGTATTTAACTTGTGCCCATTACAATTAACCCAGATATGAGTCTGCCAAGAAAGATAATGACTTTGTTTACCACGCTAAAGTTCCAGCCCTTGACACTCTGCCTGAGATTAAAGGTTTGTCCTTTGCATTCCCTATTTGGAAACACTAATTGATCTGTATTATAAATCACAAGTTTAAAATGAAAATTTTATCATTCATGACCCCCAGAATATTTTTTTCTCAAGAATGTAGCTAGTCATTTCATATTTTTTCAGACTACTGTAGTGATTTTTAATATGTACAATTTACCTAAACACTTCATTAAAAAAGGGTATAACTCAGACTTCCTCTGCAGCATGAACCTATTAAACATTTAAGCATTTATTTTATTATCTCAGGGGCCTCGCTGGTCAAGGGGATACCTTTCAACCCGACTGATAAAGAGATCTCTGGCCCTGACATCTTTCAGAAACTAGTTCCAATGGAAGCCCATGAGGCATCATCGGTATATAGGTAACATACTGGATGTCATTGAGAAACTGAATGATTAATATATTAATAGGATTGCCAGACAGCACAACATGAATATTTCTGGTCAAATATAAAAAAAAAATTTAAAAAGTCAATAAATCTGGTCCCTGGTGCATTGTTGAAACTTCACCACTGGTCGGCCTTACTTTAAAGTTTGGTTTGGGGGGGGGGGGGACACTGCTTTATCCATATAAATGCCCCTTTCCTTTCCTTATTTTTTAACATTTTTTTACTCTTCCCAGTTTAATTTTTACTTTGTTGAAACTTCACCACTGGTCGGCCTTACTTTAAAGTTTGGTTTGGGGGGGGGGGGGACACTGCTATATCCATATAAATGCCACTTTACTTTCCTTATTTTCTAACATTTATTTACTCTTCCCAGATTAACTTTTGAACTCACCATAACTAATAAGGTAACAATGTTTACAAAAACTGATACTGGCTATCAATGATTTTCGGTTCCTTACAGTGAAGAAAAAGCCAAGCTGTCTCGTACTGTTGTTGGGGAAATTGAACAGAAAAATATGGAATTAGAGTAAGTTGATAATGTTACAGATAAGATGATTTTAATCATGTTAGAATACATTAATTTATATTTTAAAAGGTATCAGACACAATTTCTCTGTCTTGAAATGAATGATGTGTGTTTCTCCGAGCAGGCAGTTCATGTCTTCCCTTCAACTAGATGTGGAACAGTTCATGCCCAAGCCTGACATCATACCAGAGAACCTTATGGAGAAATGTGCTGCCATGAGTGTCAGGACGAACGCCATTAAAGAACTGACAGATTCAATGGGTGGTATGATAAGAAAATTATTATCAGTCTAATCAGTCTACAATAAACTATTACATCAACAGTCAGCCTTTAAACAAAATTTTGAACATTGATTTCAGTTGATAATATATGTATTATTATTTTTAAATTGAATAAATTCCAAACTATTAGTTTTGCTAACAATTTAATTGAACAAATTGACATATCTATTTATTCACCCAGTTACCTGGAGTGGGGGTGGGGATGAGATATTTTAATGCAGCCAATTATCAAAACACTAAATCTTTTTTTTCAATTATTAAAAGGCTGAAAAGGATATTAATTGTGTGAACAGACTTATTTTCAGTAAAGTAAAGTTAAAACCTGTCTTGTGTATTTGAATCTTTAAAAAAAAACAAGAAAAAAAACCCACTAATTCTTTTCAAAATGTTACTGACTTCTAGACATGAATGACCCATGTTTTTTTTTTTTTTAATACAAATGCAACTATCCTGCCCCTTCCAGCTGTTTCTGGTCTTGCTACAGAAGTAGAGCTCAGCCTCACAGAGACCCAGCAGATGATTGACGAAGATAATGAGAAGACAGAACAGTTTGAGGTACACACACACACACACATAAGTATCTATATTTATATATCAGATATTAATGATTTGTAAAAGTAAATAAATTGTCCAAAAAAATGTCAGAGGATCCAGTCCTCTGCCTGGGGATCCAGTCCTCTGCATTGTTGGCACCATATGGTGGTGTTAGTCAGGGCACCTCTTTCAATAGGTCAAACTGGAAATATTTGATTGATTATAGGACAATATAATATGTTGGAACCTGACCTATCCATCCCCATAGAGCAAAAATATCTTTGGGGAAGGAAAGTCTCATTTATGAACATCCACATTCAGTAAATACAGTTGTCTCTGTTTAAATGGAAAAAAAAATTAATTAAAAAAACCCATCTATGTCAAAAAGACTTGAATGTAATTTTAACACACTTGAAATTAAATTTCTAAAAACCATCTATTAAATATGGAAACAGTATGGCTTAACGACTTGAATGTAATTTTAACATACTTGAAATTAAACTTCTAAAAACCATCTATTAAATATGGAAACAGTATGGCTTAACGACTTGAATGTAATTTTAACATACTTGAAATTAAACTTCTAAAAACCATCTATTAAATATAGAAACAGTATGGCAAAAAGAATCCAAGTTCTGTACTCCCCCGTCTGCAAGAAGAATTGGCAGGATTCCGTAAGCAACATGAAGAGGGCAGCCAGCTGAACAACACATTACACAGGGCAATGAACACACACACCAACAACTTAAAAATCTTGGTGAAACCTCCATCAGAAGTCCAGTCACATCTTCCGCCTTCTCAACCAGCTCTCTGTAAGAATCTGTGCCGTTTTCTTATGACAATTCTGACATTGTGTTTTGGTATTAGAGCTTCTAATGATGACAGCGCAAGAGGATCTGAATACAATTTTAAATCTTCATTAGCATCTATTTAATTTAGGATTTGTTAACTTACTCTTTTGTAGATAATGCTTCTTGAAGTTAACCTGGGGCTGCCGCAATACATTTATTTACACCATTAGCTTTTGAGTTTTCATATTTAGAAACATAATAAGAAAACTATATGGTAATATTGCCTCTGACAAGTTCATTGATAAACCTCGTAACAGCTTTGGAGAGAAAAAATTTCAGATACAAAATGTTATCATATACCTGTTTCGGGGCAAGCCAACCATAAATACGCCTTTAAAGTGATAAGTCACTATAGCTACAATTTAATAAAGTCTCTTTTAATTGGTTCAATTAAAATAAAATTAAAACAAATTAATTCAACAAAAAATATACTGCATACAAATTTATTTTAGGTCAGGTTGAATTTGAGATATAATAATAAATGTTTATAATAAATATTAAATAGTACCGGTACCAACTGTTTTTAATATCCGTATCTGTTTCAGCCCCTGAAGAAGAGGTTACAGTCACTGAGGTGAGGCGACTCTTACAGAAAGTGTCTGAGATGAAGGAGCAAAGAAAAACTTTGCTGGAGCAGTTCAGGGAGAAAATTCACAAGGACGATATCACTAACGTCCTTGTCACCCAAGAAGTCTCAGATAAGGATGTGAGTTAGCTTTCCTTTCAGCAGATCTGAATGAATATATATAAATATATATATATATATATATATATATATATATATATATATATATATATATATATATATATATATATATATTACTAGTAGTAGCTTTGAAGCAAAAAATACAAATAACATATTCTTGTAATAAATCATTTATTGAACAATATATATATATATATATATTACTAGTAGTAGCTTTGAAGCAAAAAATACAAATAACATATTCTTGTAATAAATCATTTATTGAACATAACATGTCAACTGTCCAATACATGCAGTTTAAAATAAAATAATTTTTATGCAGTATCCTTTTATATTGAATACAAGCCATCACAAAGTCACGTTTGATAACATAATTTTAAAAATTAATTCAACAATTTGATCTTAATGTATTGGATCAAAACAATCCCTGATAAGATCATTAATGACTTCCCCTGTGATAACTAAGCAGATAATTTTTTACAATTAAGAATGCTCCATTTTTCCTGCATAAATTATTGATGCTTTATATTAGATATTGAAATGTCTTGCTTGCTTTCACAAAGGCCCATTATTGCAACTGTGAGTCCTGTGAGTTAATTATGAGAATTATGCCCATTTTAAGAGCAAGTACTGTATGTCTATTATTTATAACATGTGCACATATGCAATGCCCTCAGGCCGTGTTCAAAGAACAGCTGAAGAAACATGACCAGATAGTTGGATACATCAAACAGAACCTCATTGCCCAGGACAACATCTTGAGACATTTGACAGATGCTAATGCCAAGTTTGCTTTGATAAGGCAGGCCTTCACAGAAAGTATTGCCAGGTGGGTGGAAAAAAAACAAAAAACTTAGGACTTAACAGATAGTTAGTTAGTTGTGTAGCATTCTTTAACTATCACGTTGACGGCTCTACATTTTTTGAGTTGTTTGTTATTTCAGTTTTAAAGATCATTCAGTTGGGCAATTTTTATCATATCAACCGTTGAAGGTTTTCACTTAAATGGCAAAGTTAAAGAATGGATTAAATCTGAATAAGTACGGTTCATAATCTTCAAGTTAATTAAGAGGAAGATTATGGCATTGTGTCATTTACTTGTCACAAGTAGTACTGTTTAAGAAAATTTTTCTTCCACTATTCCAGGAGAGAGAAAACTGTCCATGATTTAATTCTATCCTACGAAAAGTACGAAGAGCTTTTGGCCAAATCCCAGAAGGGTGTTGATTATTATAAAAATCTCCTGGAAAATGTGACGCGCACCTTGGAACGTTGTCAGAGTGAATGCAAAGTGCGACAGGAGGAGAGAGACATGCTGGTGACCAAGCTTGCTCCAAAGGGTCAGTTGTCCTCTTGTTTATTTCAAACACAATTGCAGTTTGGTTTATCATAGGATCTATCCTTGTTCAGCTAATTTTTCTGAATTAAATTTATTTGCTGTTGTATTATCCCATTAATTATAGTTAATCAGCATATTTTAAAAGTACAAACATGTCCTAAGCTCCTTTACCATTTCCTGTGTTGACTTAATTTTGTTTGTGTATTATTACAGCACCAGCTCCTTCCAGGCCTTTAGCTCCCAAACCAGGATCTGCAGATATGCCCTCACCTGTGATCCCAGACATGGGGCTGGGCGCCAATCCAACATTCTTACCTTCGGATCATGACTTAGCATCTCTGCCTACGGCTTCTCCCCCTTCTATCCCGTACCAGAGCATGCCTGCAAGCTTCGAGGGCCCTAAGCTTAAAGATTTTCTCCCCTTTATGAAGCCGAGGAGCTTTGGTCCAAAGACCACGCCCGGTGCGCCTCAAGAATCTATGCCGTCGTCTCCGAGCATTGCTCCAGCTGTGGCCCCGTACAGTTACACAGACTACAGCAGCACCCAGAACTATCCTGGCCTAGACCCAAACCTAGCCTCGGTGTTACCAGCAACAATTGCTCAGTATTTAGCCTCTGTGTCTTCAGGGTCCTATTCCATGGCTGGAGGTGCGAGACATACACCTTCACCCCAACACGGTTCATCTCATGGTTCCCCCAATGCTTCTTACAACAACCAAAGCCCGACCAATCATCAATTCCCACAGAGAAATGAAGGCTCAAGTTCCGTGGCACCTTCTCTACCCCCAAAACATTCCAACCCTGCACAACAGGACCCTATGGGATCCCAGTTTCAGGCAGGTTATCCACAGCAGTCCCTATCCGGATCATATTTACAGTCGGGCACAGCAGCTGCTCAGAATATGAACACCTTGCCCCAGTTCAATTCTGCATCGGTTGCTCCGGCACCTAGCCAGCAGCAGCAGCAGCAAGGACACCAACAATACGGATACCTTTCTGGATTAGTGCAGCCCCAGCAACATCCCAACTCCCCAAGGAATGATGGCATGAGTGTGGTGTCTGCGGCCCATCAGCCTATTATCTCACCTGGAATGGAGTCGATGAATCGTGGGGCCTTCCCTGAACAACTGCCAGCAGGGGATAAAATGCAGTCACTGCGTCATCAGTTGCCTGGTCAGCTACCGAGCCAGCAACAATTACCTAGTCAGCCGCATACCCAGAAACAGTTGCCTGGTCAGCCACCTAACCCGCACCAATTACCCGGTCAGCTACCTAGCCAGCAACAAATGCCTGGTCAGCCGCCCAGCCAGCAACAAATGCCTGGTCAGCCATCTAGTCAGCAACAAGCATCTGTAGGACAATTGTCTCAGCAGCAGTATGGCCCAGCTCAAACAGGTCCAGGTCAGAACATATTACAACAGTGGCCACAACCACAGTTTCAAATGTCCAATTTGCCAACTGGCTATCCTGGTCCAAATCATATTGCTCAAGGCCCAGGGGCAGGTCCTCGTGAGCATGGTCAGTCTCATCAAGGTAACTCTAGTTATGGACCACAACCTCCACCTGGTCATGCTGGTTTACAGTCCACGAACATGCAGCCTTATCAGTTTCATTCACAAACAGTGCAATATGGTCAGCCAGGAATGAACCCGGGTTTTAATCCAGGCCAAGCACATGTGTCGCATCATCCAGGGAGCTACACAGGGACTCCAAATCAGCCCATAGAAAATGTCAATCAAGGATTCAAGCAACAGATGGGTGGAGCCTTTCAACAGGGCGGCGGGGCAAGTGATCCAATGGTGAGACAGAGCAATTCCCCTCATCAAAGCCCTTCAAGAAACATGGACCATATACCTGTGACAAGCGTGGGGTACCTTTATGCCAAAAACAAGACCCAGGGCCCGTACACTGCAGATTTTACCTACCCCAACCAGCAGTGGTACCAGCCAGGGACCACTGTTTACCTGCCCAGCCAGTATCAGGGTGGTTACCAGCACAGCATTGACTTGAGCTACCAGCATGCCCAAACCTCGGGAGGTACTTTTACATCAACAGCCTTAATGTATGGTCAGTCAGGCCAGCCGATATCCACACAGTCTAATGGAATCAGTAGCACCCAGACGACTTTCAGTTCACCCAGCCTAGGCCCAGTCAGTCAGCTTCAAAATATGGGCAGCCAGTCTCAAGGTCTATTGCCTCCTCTTCAGAGTCTTGGACCCCAGCAGCCATCTCAGAGCAGTAATCAACACCAAATGTCCCTTCAACAAGGTCAAATTCAAAATCAGATGCCTCAACAACTAGGTCAGGGTCAAAATCAGAACCAGGTGGCTCAGTTTCAAGGCCACACACCTACAGCTCAGCAACATCCAGGTGGCTACATGCCACTGCCAGTAGTGCAAGGTACCCTACCGCCATCACAAGGTACTTTCCAGGCACCAGGCACTCTACAGCCAGCTCAGTCCAACTTCCAGGCACAGATTCCACGGCATCCACAGCCCTATCCACCCGCTCCAGTGCAGAATCTCTCACAGCCCCAGGTGCAGCCTCACGTGCCGCAACAGTTTGCTCAGCAACATCCCCAAATGATTGGCTCCGGTCAGCCGCAGGGTGCTCAGCCTGTGGTGATGCAACAAGCTGCAGTTCCTCCTGTACAACAGCAACTTCCCATTGGGGTTTACGGACCACAGCCTCCATTACCTATTCAAGGATCTAGTCACCCGGTAAGTTGTAAAAATTATGTGTAAACAGTTGTTAAATATGTATATTGTAGGGCTTGCCATCTTGTTGTCTTTGAAAGGTGCAGCAAAATATGAATCTCGTTTGAAAGAGCCGTACACAAAAATTTGGTGGAGAAAATTTCAGGTAAAAAAAAAAAAAAAGAAGTTTTTAAAAGTTTAATGCCCTCAAGTGCCATTCTGTATAACTGCATTGCTTATCATTGTACCATTTTATTCTGTGTAACTGCATTATATATCATTTTACCATTTTATTCTGTGTAACTGCATTGCATATCATTGTACCATTTTATTCTGTATAACTTATTTGCATAATGGTGCTGTACCCCTACTCCCCCTAAGTCAGTTGGTGGAACTTAGACTGCCTTGTTTAGCCCCAGAGTGACCTTGTATATAATCTATATTTATTTATTTATTTATTTAGGCATTTTTATATAGCGCTTACCTTAAAGCTCTAAGCGCTTTACAATTATCAAAAACATGTAAACTAACTAAAATAAAAATGAGACATTAGGATAGTAACTACTATACTATAGAAACAATTAAAATGGCTATAAAACGAGGACACTTTGGCATGTTTTGGCCAATATTACAGGATTAACCCGAGACAGAAAATGAGGCAGGGCAAGGAGGGTGCATCACAGGTCATAGGCGGACCTAAACAGATGGGTTTTAAGGGACTTTTTAAAAGTGGACGAGGAAAGTGTTACTGCCTATACCTTCCCCTCGACCAACCAGAACGTGGGCCCATGGAAGTAGAAGGAGCGTTCACCGATGGTCTTAGTTTTGGTTCTTGGGATTGAGAGGGTTCTATTGTCAATGGAAGAGCGTAGTTGTCTTTTGGGGATGTAAGGAAGCAACAGTCCAGAGAGATAGACAGGAAAGTGAGGGTCAGTGAACGAGTTGAAGCATATTTCAGTCGCATAATTCTGTTTAGGTTAAGGTTTCTCTGTTAATCTCATTTTTTGTTAAAAAATGTGTTCCTGATATTGCTATTGACTTGTTTTATAACCTGCATCCCTTGTCTGTGAAATTGATTTTTTTATAATTTTTTTTTTTTAAACCAGATGCCTGGCACTCCCACCCAGCCAGGTATGCATTCACACATGGGACCCTTGCCTACACCTTTGCAACCTAACCAAATGGCAAGTGCAATGAGGCCAGGTACACCAAGTCAAGGTAGGCTACTTTTCGTTTCATCTTTCTGTTTGTAGGGTATCAGGGAAGTGAAGGTAGTTGATAAGCTAAATCATTGCTCTGTTGACAATGATTACACATACAGTTTGTCAGTCGAAATCAACCTTGACCATTATAATCAACCTATTTGTGCTAGTTCAGGATTTGGCTGTAGGTGCGCAGAGAGCTCATGAGGCAGTTTCAGGCATGAGATGTTCTTGTGGAGTAAGTGCAGTGCAGGGTATTGATGGGGGCGTATCCATGTACCGAGCTAACCCGGCCTTTTCTGGCACATATTTTGTGCTCTGCAGCTGCCGTTCTGCTGGCTTCATGTCGTGCGGAGCCTTTGTGTAAAGAGGAACTCCACGATGCCCAATTCTTTGCCGATTCTTCCCATGTGTCCAGATTTTTATCGAACACTTTAGGTGAGGCTTTTAGCTTGTCTTTTAAGCGTTTCTTCTGACCGCCAGCACACCGCCTTCCATTCTTTTATGGACATCGGTCCTCTCCCATTCTTACATGTCCTGCCCAAAGGAAGCTGTGACGGCATTAAAATGGTAAAGATACTCGGGGAGACCTTACTGAGCGAGTACCTCAGTGTCAGGGACCCTGTCCTGCCATCTGGTGTTGAGTAATTTTCAGAGGCTTGTCGTATGAAAGTGTTTCAACTTTCTTGCATCGCATTGATAGACCATCCATTTTTTCACAGGCATAGAGAAGCCTTATATACTTTTATTTTAGTTTGAGTGCCGATACCTCTTCTGGTCCATACATTCTTAGACATTTAGCCAGAAGTTGCACTGGCTCTTGCAACAATATGAAGTTTAACATTGTCATCGATGGTTGCGCTTTGAGACAGTGTGCTGCCAAGGTAAGAGAAGCCATTTACCACTTAAAGCCTTTTGACATATTCTTGAACGTTGGGCTCCAGACAAGGTTTTCGAGGAGCTGGATGGTACAGGACCTAAGTCTTTTTCGTGTTAATGTTGAGGCAAAGTTTGTGCAGGTATTGAAAAAATTAGCAACACTGCATTCAGGGCACAATCATCAACATACAGGAAGTCCCAGGTGATGTCTGTAAGGACCTTGTATTTGGCATGTAGCCTCTTGAGGTTGAACAGTTGACCACCATTTTGGTGTCTGAGCCTGGTTCGGTGTCTCCCTCTCTGACGTCATCAGTCAACATGGCGGTAAGCATGAGGCTGAAACGTGTCGGAGCCAGATCACAACCTTGTTTGCCGCAGGGAGTGGTTTAGATGTCTCTATTTTCCCCAAACCCTGTCCTGCTTGCCATCATGGAATTGCGGTACCATTGATATGAACTCTCTGGGTCATCCATACTGGCCATGATGTTCTTTAGACCTTATTTACCATCAGTGTCAAAACCCTTGGTGTGTTCAACACAAGTGGAGAATAGGTCGACATTCTATTTCTTGCATTTTTCTTGTAGCTATCTGGCAGCATACACCATATCAATAGTTCAGCATTCCTTATGGAAACCACCTTGACTTTCTTGAGATGATTCAAAATATTGATCCCAGCACTCGATAATAGAGTTTTCTCACCAGCGCTCAGAAGTGGGGATGATCCTGATAAAGTGGGGCCGTAAACTTATTAGTAAACCTATTAAATTAGTGCTCACAAGACATAATCTTAACCATTGAATAAATATGTTGTATTTTGAGAACCGGTGGATTGTAATAATTTACTTTATTTCTGTCTTCAAGTACCGTCCCGGCCACAAACACCAGCGAGCCAGGTGTCCAGCAATGCCCCCTCCACCCCATCGTCCCCCAGTGCCAACAGAATGACTGTGTCAAGACAGAGCTCATCACTGGATGAAATCTTATCCTCTAGTCCCAACGGTATGGCTGGCAAACATATTCAATGCGTGCAACACAGATTTCTCAAAGCTCAGAGTTGGAGAATCATAAACCAAGGATTTGCATTTTTTTTAAAAGAAACATATCAATTAAAAAAAAAAAACCCCTCCTTTATACTCTCATTTTTGGAAATAATTTTTTTCGAGGTTTACATTTTTTCCGAGGTTTACATTTTTCCCCAGATTGTATAATCCTTTTGATAGAAATAAATTATGAATCTGTTAATAGTTACGATTTTATAAAAATATATTTTTTTTGTGGTACAAGTTAACACTTAATTTTTTAAACTTTGATGTGTCATGTAACTCCTACAGCTATAATATGAGAGACCGTAAAAAGGTACCATCAGTGTGGTCAAATTGGTCAACAATAAGTAAATGTCCATGGAAAATGTATTTGTATTTCTTGTTTGGGGTATTTTTAGGTACTACATTCAGAGTATTACATTCAGAGTATTAATTCAAACTCATTTGTGTTCAGACATATTCCTTTTTTTAAAAAATGGTGCAAACAGTGTAGCAGATCTCTTGATTGATTGGATATTTATGTAGCGCTGGTATCAATGCTACTTTAGCATGCTCACTGCGCTCTGGTTTTCTTAAATCTATTTAAACAAAAAAGTTTTTAAATGTTTCTTAAATGATTTTTTTTAATCATTTTTCAATTCCCCTCAAAGATTCTTTCATCACATGTAATTTGATAGATATAGCTGATCTCACAACTAATATGATAGATATAGCTGACATCACTTCTAATTTAATAGATATAACTGACCTCAAAGCTATCTTGATCGATATAGCTGACATCACATTATGCTGAATATATGACCTTAAAGAGATCAAAGATGTTCAATTCCTCCAGGTGTCAAAGACAAAATCATCACCCCTCAAGTCTTGACAGATCAGGAAAGACAACTCCAGAAGGAGGAGGCCATAAAGAACCAGGCCTTAACTCCCATCACAGAGCCGTACGCCAGCCCAGGGGCGCTGCACAAGCTGCTGTCTGATGTAGAAGCTTTTGGTAAATTTGTGGATGAGCTCTCAGTCACCATTCTTGGAGTATCAAGACTGGACACAGTGTGGAAGGTAGAGCACTTGACGAAACACTGCAGTCTGTAGCATTAAAAAAAATACTATGTGAACAAATTTGACGCAAAAACCTTTTCTGCAGTGTGCCTCATTTCCTCCTCAGTCATAACACTACTGTATTTGTTTCGAAATTCTTATCATTTCTTCAAAATGATGTTAATGCCATAAATCTTTTTAGGCTGTCAATACATAATAATATGAGATAATTTACCTGGAAGGGATCATAAAAAAAACAACAAAAACAACTAATGTAATACTTGTTAACTCATTGCATTGTCTCATTGTAGAGTCTTCTAGATAGCCAGGATGTTGCCATAAAGAAGCAGTCCATGGCAATAGCCAGATGTTATCCAATGAAGAACAGAGATCCAGATATTATGCCTTGTGAGTGGCTAAGATAAACTATTTCATTCGCCTAAAGATCTTTCTGCAAACCTTTTCTTGTAGCGCAGTTTAAAAAAAAATTAATTTACTTAACTATCACTGAATATTTTCTGCTTGAAAAAGTTTATTTTTAAAAAAAATGTATCTTTTAAAGATGATCTAATTGTTTTCTAAATAAGTTGATCTCATTGCTCTCTAAATAATCCTTTGACTTGTGCCTTTGTTGACTGCTCTGCCAAGAAGTCATTGGAATAAAAAAAATATAGTGCTCCAGTTTTTAAATTTAAAATGTACATGCGTTAATGCAAGCCATGTGTAGATTTTTAAAAAATTAATTTTAAAAAAATATTTTTTTTAAAGTTTGTGTTCTTGAACTAACACAATTGAAGGGTTAATAGGATAACTATTCTCAAATCTTTTAGTGAGTAAGAAAACTGTTGTAGGAGATCAGTTTAGTTTTTTTAAAGTTTGTGTTCTTGAACTAACACAATTGAAGGGTTAATAGGATAACTATTCTCAAATCTTTTAGTGAGTAAGAAAACTGTTGTAGGAGATCAGTTTAGATGAAAATAAGGCTTTGGCCCACCCATTAACTGGATGCTTTACTTTTCTTCTGTCTCTTGAACAGATGATGACACAAGAGTGGTCCTGGCAACAACGAAAGATGACTACATCAATGCCAGTTGGCTCAATGTAATTTTTTATAATCACCTGTATAATATAATCACCAGCTCTGGTTTATCAGTTAGAGAAGAATATGTTTTCTTCTGGAGATTAAATCAGTTTCTGTTAATGAGAAGACAACCATTTGTTCTTTACCCTATACAAGTTGAATTCATGTAACAATGGATGTCAGTAGTTTCTTAATTATTAATTTAAACTCCTTTGAACCTATGCAACACAATTTAAAGGGAGTTAGGATGAATCCCTTTATCATCATAAAGTCATTTATACATTGACTAGGAATCCCTTTATCCCTGTCACCATGAAGTATTGTATACATTGATTAGAAATCCCTTTATCCCTTTCACCATGAAGTCATTTATTCATTGATAAGAAATCCCTTTATCTCTGTCACATGATGTTATTTATACTTCACTACCATTCATTCAACACAGTAATTACCTTTCTTCCTTTTTTTTTAATCAACAGAAAATACTTTTTATATTTTAATTAAAGCATGAATTATCCAGAGTACATTTATGCATAAAGAGGTAGTAAATTAAACGTGCAATTTTTTGTTTTGTTTCAAAAAAAGGATTTGGCACCATCCTGTCCAAAGTTCATCACGACCCAAGCACCAATGACAGTGACCATGGGAGAATTTTGGGCAATGGTCTACGAGCAAGGCTCTGAAGTGCTAGTCCAGATAACCAGCGAATATGAGACGGGGAAGGTGAGATACTAATTGGGGTACATCTGCTGAAATAAATAATGCTCTCCTTATGAACGTGTTGTCTAATTCCTGTGCTAGAGGAGATATTGTTGTATAGAAAACATGTATTACACTGTCAGTCTTTCTCAATAGGAATATCCTGTGTTCTAAGCCTCTTGAGAAAACAATAAGTTAACACTGTCTTTCACAACAGAAATACCCTGTGTACTACCCACTTGAGAAAGACAAGAACATGGAGCAGGGAATCATGCTGTTGTCCCTGCAGTCAGTCAAGTTCAGACAACACTGGGTCGAGAGGATTATCTACCTAAAAAATTCACAGGTTATTCAGCAATTACAATTATTATATTTTGTTATAGCTTTTCTCCAGTGAAAACCTTAAGCAGTTGTCCTTGGGACACACTAAAACCTCTAAACTGAAATTCTGTGCCAATTCAATCATGCCATTAAATAAAATATTGGGGGTTGAGGTGAAGACCAGCTTCCTAGCCAAATAGTGTCAATTAATATTTCGGGGTCATTTATTTTATCATGTTCTAAGGCAGGGGCCTTGAAACTTTTTTGTGGGGGGTACGACTCACTGTCCCTCAGACCCTGTTGGGGGCTGGACAATAGTTTGGCAAAAATATGATCAAATTCCTAAGCACACCTCACTTATCTGATTTGTAGCCGAAACAAAAAAGGCACGAATGAAAAATATTTAAAAGGATTGACATTTGTAATCAACATAAACTTATTAGTATTTCATTGGAAGGTATGGGCCTGGTTTTGGCTAAGTTAAGGGTCATTGTCTGGGAGCTGCATGGCCAAATCTAGTAGTACACAGTTTGAGGACCCCTGTTCTAAAGAATTCACACATATATTTTTTTTTTAAATGATCATATTAAACTAAAATGTTTTTCTTGTCATTTTAATCTTCCAGACCAAGCAGGGAAGGACTTTAGTTCACTTGCAGTTCAAAAACTGGCCAGTCAGGTAGATACAGCATTCCAACAATACATTTTGTTAAATATTCTTAAATTGTGTCTCCTATAACTGTTTTCAGGGGGTCCAGAAAAAGGATATTTGCATTCAGTTGAATGGCTTAAAACTTGATGAAGATCTTATTTTTTTTTACACATGTTAGATGGGTGAAAGTCATGCAATGATCTGTTTTGACCGTGTTTGTTGCAGTGGGTTCCCAGATGACATTGGGAGCATTGCACATTTCATATCTGAGGTTCACAATTTCTACCTGCAACAACGAAGTCTTACTAAACCCATCATTGTTCACTGTGGGTAAGTCCAGCTCTTTTATTTTTTAGAATGTCAACCTTTTAAACCAGGTACTACACTGGAAGATTTTTGGGTGCCTGAAAAAAAAAAAAAGAGTCCAAAACTGCCAAGAACTAGCTGGCTCAGTTGATGTGATTTGTTTTTCCGTAATTTTTTGTAAACTTTGAGTTTCAATTTGGCAAAACAAGCTTTTTGAAACTTTGCAACTGAAAATCCAAACCACCGCCCCGGGTTAAAAAAAAAAAGGGACAGAAATAAAAGCTAAAAGAAAAACATTTTTTTTTTTTTTTCAAAATGAATTTTTTTGGTAAGATATGTGCAATCTTTGTAAAAACTATTCAACATTTTTATATTCTTCACAATATTGTACAATTCCAATGCTTAACTGTCCACCCATCAGTTTTGGCACAGGACGGACAGGTGTGTTCACGCTAGTCTACGCAGCCATGCAGGAGATCTTGCATGGCAACGGCCTCATTGATGTCCCAGGCCTGGCTCGACGCATGCTGCAGAAGAGGCGTGGCATACTCCACAAGAAGGAGCAGCTCAAGTGCTGCTATGAGACTGTACTTTATTTTGCTGAGGAGTTCCTGGAAAAACGTAAGTCTATCCCATACCGTAAGGCTTTCCATTTTATTTCTGTTCTGAGTAAATCTCTCCCCCTCATTCCCCTCCTTTCTTTGTTCTCTCACTCTGGCCAGGTCTCTTCTGCATGTCCTCCCGGGCCTCCCCTCTCTGTCTGTTGCCTGTCGAGGCCATGACGGAGACTGTCAAGTAATATTTGATTTTTTTGGTTTTCTCAGTGTGTGGCCATCTCCATTTCCTGCCATGTGTTTGCTGCCCCATGGGATGCATTCCTGAACTTTCCCATATGATTTTGCCTAGAATCACTTGGAACCATTTTATTTTTAGGACCTCGCACTAACATAGGTTTATAAAAACATGTTTTCTGTAGGTGTCCTTCATTTTGCCCACCCATCCAGAAGTAGAGAGTTGACGTTTGAATTAAATTATGTCAATCTTGAAATATTGTCCTTAATTTATCAAATAATTAATTAGTTTTGACCGTAAGTCCTTTTGATATTTATGTGTTTCCAAATGTTCTGTGGTATGAGTGTAAAATAATACACCTTTTTTTTTTATCTTCTCAGGTGGTATGCTGGTTAAAGATCCTCATTTCTCCAAGAAGACGGTAGTTCGTAGCTCCCCAAAACATCAGACCCACCAAGGACCAGCCGCGGATGATATAGTTCTAGGAACAGTTGATTTGCAGACCATTCAGGAGAACGTTGGCAGACTTCGCATCCATACCAACAACCCAGAGCCTGAGAAAAGAGAGGTAAACATGGATACTATTAACCAGAATCTAAGCAAGAGATCCCTGGAGAGCTTGTCATCCATCAGTAGCCTCCCTGATGTCGTCCAGCAGTATGCTGACCCCCCGATCACTGGGCTGGGAGAAAAGTCAGGCAGCAGCAGCTGTGCAAGTAACCTGTCTAGCCTGAGCCTGCAGAATTTTCAGTTGGACACAGGAATGCATGACGTGACCGGTGCAGGTTCACAGTTACATTCCCAGAATGATTCAAAATCCTGCCATCCGAAACAGCCGGTCATGGACAGTACTGCGTCTTTGACTGGAAACAACGGAACTGAAGAAACTCTGGGGACGGCCGGCTCCCACGCCACTTCCTTGGCTCAGCTTCAGGACCCGGCCACTTTCACCATGGGCTCACCAGATGCTAAGAACAGGAATAAGATTACCAAAGCCAACTTCAGTCAAGCTCAAGGTTCCCTAAAGAGTGGATCAGCTGATCCATCCGACCCATTTGGAAGCTTGGATCCTCTCTGGAGCCTGGCTAAGAAATAACTCTTTTACTGTTGAAGGTTTGACAAACCTATAATTTTTTCATGTTTAAACATTTTGTAATATAAATTTTTAAAAATTCTCAGCTCAAACCATTGGACATCTTAGATAAAAATATCTTGATTAGTGTTTGTGTCACAGAAAAAAATCTTTACTCAAGAACAGATTAAAGAAATAATTGACTGTCAAAAAAAAAAAAAAATTCAGACAAGATAAATGTAAATTTATGGAGAGTTGACAGCTTGTATGTAATCATTATTAATTCACACGCATATCTTTATTTTATATCAGTACAATGTATTTACCTATTATTTTTTTTTTGAAAAAAACCATTGGACATCTTAGATAAAAATATCTTGATTAGTGTTTGTGTCACAGAAAAAAATCTTTACTCAAGAAAAGATTAAAGAAATAATTGACTGTCAAAAAAAAAAAAAAAATTCAGACAAGATAAATGTAAATTTATGGAGAGTTGACAGCTTGTATGTAATCATTATTAATTCACACGCATATCTTTATTGTATATCAGTACAATGTATTTACCTATTATTTTTTTTTTGAAAAGTGATATTGTCAATGTTTATTATTTGCAATTCTCTAGCCTTAAAACCCCCCTCAGAGGACAAAGGAAAACTCAGGCTTATGCATACAAAAAAAAACCAACATTTGTGTGTGTGTTTAATTTAGATACTTTAAATTAGGGCTGAGCCAGGTGCAGTTCTTTTACAATCGGCAGACCTCAGAGTCCAGATGTTACACATAGGTTTTTTTTCTATGTGTTCCACCAAGTGTGGAGAAGGGAAAAGTGCATGGATGGATAAAACCCATAGTGATCAGGCAGGCATCAAAGTTGAAGGCTATATGCTAATAGCTTAATAATATAATCCTCATCCAGAGGTTCCCAAACTTTTTTGTGCGGGACACTTTTATAACAGTTGTCAAGTTGGGGCGACAGAACTATACCTTGAAATTGAGAAACAGCTGTGAAGAGGGGATGGGGCAGGCAGAGCTTTTTTCTTTCTTTTTTTGAGATATGGAGTTGTTACGTAGATTTTATTTTGATGGTTGGGGGGGGNGGGGGGGGGGGGGGCAGGAAGGAAGCAGAAATAAGGGCTAAGAAGGGTGGAGGGTTCTGTAGAGGGAGCCCTGTCAGTCAGTCGCCAGAATTTTTTAAAATAAATTCAAAACACATGGTTATATTTTAGGATGGAAGCTGCCAACATTTAAGTTTAGGCACACAAAAGAAAGAAAAAAAGAAGAAAAATAACAAAACAAAGAAATAAACAAAAACAACATAGTAATGCTGTGGGCGTTACTGTCACTGGTTGGTAGAAGTTTCTATTTTTCTGATACCAACGTACATATTATCTCAATACTTATATCCTCATCACGGCCGATACCAATTAGCTTACATTTAGTTCGCACCATTGGGTGGAACACTTTATACAAAACGAGAAGATACATTTTTTTTTTTAAACGCCTAGTTGCAGTTTTTTTTTGGCCAGGTCCGGGTATGTGCGGAGTGTGCTAATACTCTGCAAAATCCAGGTATCCGGGTCAGTTCCTGGCTCAGTCCTACTTTTAATAAAGAAGGTTCAAATCAAATGCCGTTATAGTCGAGAAGTAATATACAAAAAAAATGTATTTAAAAAATTCCCTTTGATGGATTTATTGATAGATATTTTTAGATATTTTGTTCCTTTCAAAAATATCTCACACACGGCTGGACTTTAGAAATGGACCTGGATGGGTAATTTATAGTTTAAGTGTACATTTTATCCTATACCAAAGATGGAAAATATTATTTTTTTAAATACATGTTAAAAGTTGTTCTTCAACTTGAACATTTGCATTTGGAAATGATTAAGGACATCAAATAATTGTTTAAAGTTTAATCTAGCAGGATAAAATTTAATTTCATTTATGTGATCAAAAGGATTTAAAACATCATTGTACACATCACTGTTCATTTTTCAAGGTTCTTTTACCTCCATTTTGTAAAAAAATCAATTCATTTTTAATTTAAAAAAAAAAAAAAAAAAAAAAAAAAACAAAAAAAAAAATTTATTTTTAAATAAAAAAAAAAAAAAAAAAAAAAAAAACCGCCCAACAAAAAAAGCCTTGCCAATTAGAGCTTTCATATTTTGTATCTAAACCCCCCCCCCCTATAATTACCAAACATTTATGCTGATATTAATTATAATTTGAATGAGAGGTTCAATATTTTGTGTTGCTTATGACGATATTTTTTTGGATATATCAAGATCAAAAGATACCATTTGAACATCACCCATGACAATGGGCCTTTTACTTATCGAAAGATCTACTATTAAAATGTAGTGAGACCGTTTCATAAAGCCTTTGGTCTTTTTAAACAAATGGCTTTCTTAGGGGAAAAAACCCAACTAAACAAGCTTTCCTTTATTAACATTTAGAAACATTTTTATTAATGTTATTAAATTTTTTGTAATGCTATTTATATTATTTTTTTTTTACAAAACATAAAATGATTTTCTGCATGTCCACTTGAAAACAATTCTTGATTTAAAATTATTTGCGTAAATGAACTTATTTGATTTTTGTTCTGGAATAATTTTGTTGATTTGTTGCTGCTAATTATTTATATGTAATTATACAAGTAAAAGTAAACAAAATCACATTTAGCAACTTTACATTTTATATTTGATTTCCTGTTTTCTCTTCATTTTGTTAATGTATCCTTTTCAAATCAACTCCTTTTTTTGTGTGTTTTTTTTTTGTTGTTGTTGGGTGACCATTGTTAAAATTCATGTGCAGGCCATCAATGCATTCCATGCTCTAGTGCTTACACAACACGACAGGTTGTGGTATTACTATACTATAAATGTTTTCATCATCAGGGCTTAAATAAATATTTGTGTGTCTCAAGTCAGCCTTATAGGGAATAAATAGTTTTATGGAGTTATCAGCATTCCCAGAGCTGTGTAGAGGGATATTTGCAATGAGTTTTTTTTTGTTTTTTTTTGGGTGTTGAATAATTATTAATTCTAAATTATTCAAGTAGGGTAGTTGCCTCCTGTGGATATATTTTAAGCCATTATATATGTCAAACCTTTATGTATTCAGACTTATTCAAATAGTTTAATTGTTACAGATAAATATTATAGTCCTAACAAGCACTTATTAGTAATCTCTGTGGAGCACTAACAAGAATGTTATACACTATAACTTAAACTTAAAGAGTATTATTATTGAAAATTGTTCTTTTCAAGCATTTTCATATTTATATAGTAATTTCAGTATCATAAGTTACCCATCATTTGTTAATAACAGCTGGGGGTAGGAGGTGTAATTCCCTCTTTCGTTCATTTAGTGTAATTTAAACATTTCATGGATAAATTAAACATATCTTTACAAATTAATGACCTATCTCAAGAACTGTGACAAGGGGCATGATTTTCATGAACCATAAAATTTAATGAAAACCTAAAAAAATCAAGCTATTATTTAAATTGTCTCCCTTAATTGTTGTGGAAACTATAGTAGATGATTGTTGTAGCTATTTATTAGGTCATCATTTAATTGGGGGGGGGGGTGTGGTGTAATAGTTAAGAAAATCTAGAGAAAATGGTATTTTAATTAGTTCAGTTCTGTTGAAATGCTTAAATGTACAATCAGGCATAATTTTGATATTTCCTGGTTTCCACTATTTTTAAAAAGGATTCAAACAAATGGTTTTTTTTGGGAGTTAAATCTGCCACCTTGGGCAGTATGTAGAAATAAAAACAAAGTGGACATATAAAAAGAAAAAAAAGTCCCTTAATTTTAAATATTTAAAGTCCATTAGCATATGATTCCTTAATTGTTTTTCCATCATGAAACTTTTGATAAAACTTTAATATGTATATTATAATTCCATGTGTGCAATATGCAGCTTTTTTGGTGTGCTGTGCAAGAGGAGATGTCGTTTGGTATTTTTGGTCATAAGCTTAACTTGATGGGGGGAACATAATTAAATCTGAACCCTGTATTCACTTGCTTGCAGGAATTTCTATTTTCAATAATCCTTTTCAAAACCTCTTTTGCGGTATTCGTTTATAGATTGACTTTTTAAAAAGAAAATTGGATGAACACTTATGAGCCTTGCGAAGAAACAATTCGACTAGATGTTTGGCCTATAGAACGAGGTGAGAAAATTTTACATTTCAGTTTATTTTTGCTGCACTTCACTGTTATTGATTCATGTCTGAACTTACTTTTGAGGCCTTGCTGGTTTTTTTTTTGGTTCTAATGTTAGGTGTAGTTCAGGGCGTTTCTTTTTTTTCTACCTATCTTTTTTTTTTAATTTTAAAAGTCCATTCCTCCTGTTTAAGCTTAAATTTGTAATTGATGTTGATCACTTGAATTAAAAGTTGTGAAGTTTATTTTTGAGTTCTTGTTTTCTTTAGTTGCTGAAGCGTTTCAGATGTTGTGTTGAATTTCTGCCTGTGATTCAATGGGTTGTTGTTGGTAACCATTAACTTATATAGTCTTTTGATTTTTAAAGATGTTTTAGGAGAGAGAAAAAAAAAATATATAAAGAACATTAAGAGGTAAATGTTATTTTGTATCTTAATGCTAAATGAAAATCTAATGATGAATCTAGTTGAAAATCTAATGATGAATCAGATCTTACAATGTCTGTAACTTCTACATTACATTTTGGGAATGCTGATGGTGAATGTTGGATTGAAATTGCAGCATTCGCAGGCCATGACACCAACTCCCTTTGTAAGCTAAGCTCAGTGGATAACACAGTTTATCTGTACATTTTTGTTACTTCTAACCGTTGCCTTCAGAAAAATTATCTTTTACACCATCAAATATTAAAATAAATGGAAAACCTTCAGAAAGATCAATAAATAGCTGTAAGGCCTAATTATGAATTCAGCTTACCAGCTGCAATAAATGGGGAATTAAATATAAAAAGACACCCTACATAATTAGGGAATTTAATCTGTAAACTTAATGTTCTTAAAAAAAGAAAATTCCAGCAGTCTATCAAGGCTGAGAAAAGTTAAACAAATGATTATGACTACAAACATAGACAACAATAAGACTAAAAATTATTCAAAACCAAAACATATTTTTGTTATTATTTTGTTTTAACTCGTCTTCATAATGACCACAAAATTATCATCCAAATGACAACTTGTGATGGCTACCAACCTTCACATACATTATAACAAAGGAATACCATTTTAATGTTGACAAGTTTCTCAAAAATTTTTGAGGTTGTCACAGATGAAACAAATCATACTTTAACACTGATATTTTTACCCTTTGTGTGAACTGAC